AAACTGCAGTGAAATAGTAAAATTGCAAAGCAACTTTGTTTTAATAATGACAGATGCTTCTTAAACACTTCAATTATGTCTCTCCAAGGCCACAGAAAGGGAGAGCAGTATTCCTGAAATACTTGGAATAAAACTCATTTTTTTTCCACAACATCTCTAAGTGAAAGCCTTTCCACTATGTTCAAATGAAAGCATTTGGCTTTTTCCTGGCACAAATCTTGCCTGTTTCAGATCCTGAGAGGGGACAGGTGAGTGCTGCCAGGCAGGTCACCCTCCTGGAGGTGGGGTGGTGTGGGCTGTAGGCCCTGCGGTGCTGGGAGCCACTTTTCCTTGTGCTGTCCTATGGGAGTTGTAAAAATGGTGCAAATTTCCATGGTTCATGGCCCTTCAGTGACACAGAGTCGGTACCAGCCTCAACTTCCCCGAGCAAAACTGGCTCCCGAGGTGCTGCAGACACTTTGCTATAAAAAAGCAGCAAATGGCACATCCAACAAAGTGCAGGGAGCAAGATAAACACATTAATGGAAAAAAAGCCATTATGTGAGCGCACAGCGTGCATGGAGAACAGGGAGAGAGACTGTGGGCAGCAGGGGAGGATGGAAATAAGACAACTAGTGCTGAAGGTTAAAGAGCTTCAGAGACTGAAATGGTCTGTGACTGAAATCTTTCTGCAGCACGCTGTTGTATTTTCTGCAGTGATTCTCTGACCCTGTCCTCTGCCCCCTTCCCTCCTCTGATGGTGCCCTTTGCCCTTCTGCTGGGGACCTGCTCTGGTTCCTCCTGCCTCCCTTTCAAGCCCAGGGAAAGAAATCTCTTCAGATCTGCTCCCTCCTCAGCCCGTGCAGTCTCTGGGCTGCGAGGTGTTACCTGTGTCACCGTCACTTTGCTAATTTATGACAACCATTTCAAGGCACATTATATCCAGAGCCCATATGTCACCTCACCGCTGCCAAAAGAGTTCTTGTTTACTAAGCTGATGCTTTCAGCGTGCTCAGAGTGTGCTAAATAGCACCATCGATACTACTTAAAATAAAAGGTGTCAGCACCTTGTCTGCCCCTGCAGGTTGCTCGGCGCTCTCAGCTCTGAAATGCCCCTGAGCACTGACACCTCGGGCTGAGCTGCTCCTGCCACTGCCTGCTCCTGCTCTGCTCCATCCCTGCCACTCTCCTATGGATGCTAGCTTTGGAACAGGCTGCAGGGAGCTGCAGAAACTGCAGGCCCATGGCCTCTCAGTCCTGCCTGAGAAGCTAGCCTGAGAAATTCAAAGGAGGATTTCAAAACAATCCTCAGAGACAGAAAACAACTGCCAGGTGTTGTTTGTCTGTCCTCTTGTTTTCCCTTGCAGGAGAGGGTCAGGGGGGTAGTGTGCCCCTGACCAATGATGGTAATGTAGCACTTTGCTAACTAATAAGAGTTTCCTTTCTGTACTTTCCACGTATCTGTCTATAAGACAAGCCTAGAGCAATAAACTAGAGAATTCTCGTGTTGAAACTCCCTTGAGAGTTCATGTTGTTCTTTCTAGCCGTTCCCAATCGGAACGACACTCTCCTGTGCCCCATCTCCCCACGAGCAGCTCTTGGGGCTGCGACAGCAAGGCACTTCTTGGTTTGGAGGAGGATGACACACTTCTAGGGTTTTTAACGCTCTCAATGTCTGGGATTCCCAAGGAAAGCTGGGGGTGCCTGTCTGCAGCTGCTGGTGCCACCCAGCTGTGTGAGGAGCAGTTCCTGGGGTGTGCAGAGCCCACAGAGAGCCTGTTCCTGTCCCCCAGGGCAGCTGCACCCCCGGGATGTTCCCATCACTGTACTGAGCTGACAGGGCCCTTCTGCTGATGGACCAGGCTCCTGCTCTCCTCCCTTTCCTTGCCTCTCTGTGCTGGACAAATCTTTCAGTTTCTTGGTGTTTTGTATCTTTCCCTGTTTACCTGGGCACAGCTGTCTAAGCCAGAGGCTCTGCTTTTTCTAGTTAAAAACAAAATTAGTGCACAACTCCAGTCCTATGGGAACTGACAAAGGTCAAATAAGATATTTTTGCCTTCAGGCATGAGCTTGAGCCTGTGTGAAACCAAGTCACACAACTTTCTCAGACTGGCCCGAGAAGTGTGGCCTGGGAAATCATAAAGAGGAGTCCAAACAGTCCTTGGAGAGGGAAAACAACCTCTGCAGGTTTTGTTTGGATCCTTGTTGTTTACTTGGAAGAAAAGATCAAGGGGTGGTGTTCCTACTTGTCCAATGATGGTGATGTGTTGGTGTAACTACCAATAAGAGTTTTACTTCTTGGACCTTCTTGTAACTGTCTATAAAAGAAGATCTGGAATACTAAAACTTGCTCTCTTGTGCAACCCAGCTAGAGAGTCTGTGCTGTGCTTTTGCCATTCCTAATAGAGCACAACAAAGCCCCATGGTTCGTCAGGTATTTCAGTTTCTGGTGGAAAATATCAGATGCAGAAGTTGCACAGAAATTCTTGAAGGGAGATGTCTCCAAATTCTTCAAAATGTCACAATCCAGTTTGGGTTCAGGCTGTGTATCTGGAGGCTCAGGGCAGGGGTTTTTTTGTGCTATTCACCTTTCTGCTGGGCTCCACTTCTCAGTGGCATCATGCCCTGGTTCTGCAGGGCCCAGCTTACCCTGTTCTGTTTCTCCTGGAAGGGGGAGTAATGGAGGGGTCTCTGGAGGAGGCTCCACAGCTCCTGGTTGTGCTGCAAGTCACTTCAATTTCATCTGTGGAGCTGGAGATGGAAGTGGCATGAGCTGGGATCAACCTGTCATGCTCAGTAAGCCGTGTTGGGATAACACCACTTGTGAAGATCTCAGGAAGATCCTGAAAGGCTTCTGGTGCCAGACAGACAGAGTGTTATTAAATGAAAAGTTATTATATGCAGGTTTTTATTCCATGGTTGTTTGGGCCTCGTAATAGTGATGCAAACACATTTCTTGTACTGTGCAGGGACTGTCCTGCCCAACCCACTCTGGCAGGCACTAGAGGAGACAATGGATTTCCTGGTGCCATCGTTCCCTCTGTTCCATCCCCATCCATTTTTCCATTAAGGAAATCCAGTGTATTTTACCTGTGAAAACATTCAGGTCCAAACTTACCTGAGTCCTCCCCGAGGGGCAGAGATTTTGTCTGGTTTGGTTTGGGGAGAAGGAAGGAGTTGCACAGAGGGATCACGGTGGTCCACGTTGGCTGCTTGTCCCTGTGAGAGGGCACAGGGATGTATCAGAGCACTGACACCCAGGGTCAGCAAAACACCTGCTCACAGATGTGCAATTACTGCTTTGAAATGGGATTTTGCTGGAAGAAATCCAGGTTAAAAATTGTTCTCTGCTGAGCTGAAAATCTAAAATGTCTGAAGGTGCCTGGCTGGGACCAGGAGATGGGAGGGTGAGTAGACACCTCTCACCATTTCCTGATTTTCTCCATATTTTTCCCAGAGGGATTAATTGGTGCTTAAAGGGAAGTGAACTTCTGTTTTATGAGTGAAATCTGTTGTCTCATTCATTATTCATTCAGAGGTGATTGGCAGCTTCAAGGCAGTGGGTCACAGTCAGTAAAGGGTGAGATGCTGACTGACAAGGTTAATTGCTGCCTCGTGTTATTGCTGATAACGATTTGTGTTGACAATTCCTGGTGTTCCTGGTGCAGCTGGAGGTTTGTCATGCAGGGTCAGCCAGTGCTGTCCCCTCCTGCCCTGCTGTCCTCGGCAGCTGGGAGCGGCCGTTCCCTCGGCACGTGGGAAGGGATTTTTTTCCCAGAGAAGATCTCTCATGCTAAGTAATGCAGAAGCAGCTTTGTCGCTTTTGCCTTTTTTCCTACTTCTTTTTGCTATATTTTCTGCATATTGATCAGGGTTCAGAGCATAAAAGTGAGGCTGGGCTCTGCTCTGCCAATCCCCCCTTGGCGCCAGTGTCAAAGCTTTGGTTTTCTGGGGACTCCAGCAAATAGAGATGTGAAAAATTTTTGAGGGTGACCCTTAAAATAATTGAAATGGGAAGGAATTGTCTTTATTTCTCAGTGTGCAGGGTGGGCTGTGCCACTGAAGCCCAGAGGCAACCCCAGGGCTGTGCCTCCACTTTTGGGTTTTGTTTTATTGCTGCAGGAAGGGCACAGCTCCAATCACGCTTGCTGCTCCCATCCCAGAGAACGCAGAGGTTTTCCCCCTGCCTTGATATAATAAAGCAGAGTCATAAAGATTTCAACTAATAAACACTGGCCTTTAGGGTGCTCTCAGCTTTTATTGGGCTAATAAGATTTTTGACTTACATGGAAGGGAAGAGGCAAACAGAGCTTTTATGAACCTGATGGCCTTGTCGGGGCTCTCAGGCTCTAGCACCTCTCTGGGATGAAAAGCTCCAGGCAAACCATAATGGGAGAGAGCTCCTGTGGATGGCTCTTCATGGAATATCCAGGTTTAATTACATGTCTGATATCAAGCTGTGGGAGGTATGTGAGAGCAGGGAGAGCTGCACAGTCTGAGCCTCATTGTGTCTTCCCTCCCTCTGGCCAAAACTGGGATCTTCCCTTTCCTCTCCAGGTGCTTGAGACCATCACCATTGCCCCAAATATGCCACATCCCCCTTGGTGAGCAGCACCAGTAGCATCTCCCAGGTGTTTGGGTTCAGCTGGGAACTGGCTTTATCATCACTTTGGTTTTATGGCTGACAAAGTTGGGATGTTGTTAAACAGTGTGAGTTTGGGACAGAATCTGAGCAAGAAGGAAGGGAGATGTTGAATATAAACAGGCATAAACTTCATTATTTTCTAGAAATTATTTATTTAAAATTTAAAACCATATTACTTCATACAGCAAACTGTGCACTTTGATATATCACAGTGTCTTAAAAAGTAAAATAATCAGAATTTTTTCTTTTTTTTTTTATTTTTTGGAAATTGTATTTACATCAGCCTAGAATGATCAGCAAGTAACACAGTTACTATGAAACCAAAATTGTTACAAAATGTTTACAAAAAACTATATTCATAGAAATTCTGCATGTCCACAAAGGAAAATCCCCTGAATGTCACGGAGACTATTTTTTCCTTTTTCCCACTATTTTCTGGTGTTTTTTAAATTTTTTTTTTCTTTTTCTTTTTTTTTTTTTTTTTTTGATAAACATGTCAAAGTAAGGTACAGAGCAGAGGGCTCATGATGCCAACGCCTGGGAACGCCCCTGCCCTGCCAGCTTGGAGTGCTCTGGGGATTGTTGTACCCCATGGGCACTGGGTGCTGGGGTGAACACCAGGTGAAGCCACCAAGGATCCAACATGTCCCTTTGCTGTGACCTGCCCAGAGAGCCTCTGCTCGGCAGCCAGCCAAGTCCTGCTCCCAGCACCGAGGTGGAGCAGTGGGTGCCCAGACCTGGAGCTGGCTCCTCTTTGCATATTCCACCTCTCTGTGGGTCTGTCCCCTTGGCATCAGACCTGACACGTGCTGTTGGTTGACTCCAAACAGAAAATCCACCCCAGGGAAGCTGCTGGTTGTCCCTGCTCTGCCTCACAGGAGAGTTGGAGGAAAAAAGCAAGTGCTAAGGGGACAGTGAGACGAGGTGACAACAGTTTAGATACAGTTTAATAACCCAAACCTGCTTTTTCTGTATTTCCTCCTCAGTTTTCTAGCCCCTCTGCCCAAGGGACGAAAAGAACTGAGTCGAACAGCGTTGGAAGTCAGATGAATTCAGATGTGAGTTGTCACTAGTCCCAACCAGGTCACAGATGCGCTTATGAAGGCTTTGAGGCTTTGTCATCAGGTCTGTCCCTCCCAAGTCTCCCAACACGGGGCTGTGAGGCGTTGGGCTGGCTGCTCCTCCTCAGGCATGAACACACATGGCTTTGGACTTCGGGGCCAGAAGCACACAGGGAGGCATAAGAGAGGCTCTGGGAGCTCTCCTGGGTGAGCTGCCCCTGGCCCCGCAGGAAGGCTGAGGGCTGACATTGTCCACTCAGGTCACAGTGAGCGGGAGCCAGGGGGAAGGGTCCACGCCGGGCTGGGGTCCCTGCAGCTCCTCTGAATTGTTTTGGGGGCTGCAGAACATTCCCTTCTTGGATGTCAAACGTTCCAACGATCAAAACTTTAACACAAAGCCATCATGGATGCAGGAATTTGTAGACGCAGGAATTTGTCTGTAGCTCGTGGCTGATTTAGGGGTGTAGGGATGGAAGGAAAAGGTTCATCTGCAGGGTTTGACCTGGCTGGCAGTGCACCAGTAATTCCAGATGTTCACCTGTCACATTTGTGAGTAAAATCAAATCAGGCTGATATCAATAAATAAATGGGGTTTGTGGTATTAGCAATATTTATTTATTTTTAAAAAATCTGCCAAGAAGCAAAATGAATGCTGATTTCTGTGGCGTTTTACTCTCTGGACATTTAAAGCTGGTTTCAGGCTTTGTTTTCATCTCTGGCTTTTTTTTTTTTAGAGCTTAGAAATCTGCGAGGAAAACATAAAATCTACTACTCTAACAAGCCTAAGGATTTGCAAAGGAATACAGAAAGCATGTCATTAGCTTTGGGAAGTTGCCCCACACTTCAGTCTGTCCTTTGCTCAAGGTATTTGGGCAGCAAATTATTAAGAATCTGATGCCCATTGCATTGGCAGCTTTCATCCCTAATTTTTCATGGTTTCTGTGAAAAGGTGAAAATGAATGTAAATTCCTTGCATATCTTTGCTTGAGTCAAAGTGTGACAAATCACCTGATTTTGTTTGGGGTCTTTCTGTTGTTTCTGTACATCATGGAAAAAGCAAAATAAGGACAAATTGTGTCCCGTGATGGGGTGGGGGAGCAGCTCTTCACCCCTGAGCTAATCTGCTAATTCTGCTCAGCTCGAGACAGCCTTCCCAACTGAGCACGGGGAGGAACAGGTGGGAAAAAACCTGAAATCAGCTAGAGACAGGTTTGTTCCTTTGGGCGAGGATAACCTTTCCAGCACGGCCGTGCAGCTCAGGAGGGTGAATGGGGTCAGTTCAGTGGACGTTTGGTGTGGTGGCCTCAGCACATGGCGCAGAGTGAGGCTGGGGCTGCAGAGCCTGGGCACTGCCTGCTCCATCTCTGCCCCATCCACACAGGTGGGCACAGGTGGGGTCCTGTCCCTCCACCCCTGCAGGGGATGGGAGTTGCTGTTTTCTACACCACTGGTGTTTAAATCAGAGCTTTTAAGCACCTTTGCATCACGTATGTGACATTATGGGCTACAGTGGGTGGAGCAATTTCCATTTATTTAATTTTATGACTGAATCCACAATGTCCCTCTGGCTGCCTGCAGGTCCCCTGGCAGGGATGTAGCTGAGGGACATTACTCAAGTGTTACCTTAGGTCAGCAGAGGGTTCTTTGGTAATTCTGCCTAAATTCATCTGCAGGACCAACTTTCTGGGTTAAGCAACCTGAAAATAAGAAAACAATTCATGGAAGATTTCCTCAAAACATTTTAGTGTGTGTTTGCTTAAATCTCACAGAGAGGCTGCCTGAGGGGTGGCAGTTTGTGGTCAGAGCAGGCTTGGCTCTGCTCCTCCCAGGTCAGCCTTGGCTGAGATTAATCCTTCAGGTCCTTGATGCCATTGAGAGCACTTAGTCCTAAACCAGGCCCACAGTCCCTTCCCAGTGTGGAGTTGCAGTTCAGCACTGCTGAATTTCATGGAGATTGGTACTTCTGGCTCTTGGAAGCAGCTTTGCTCCTGCTGAAGCCTGTGGACCTGGTTGCTTCCCATGCTTCACTGCAGGAGAGACTGAGCTTTGCAGGAAAAGCAGAGACAGAGCTGAGGACCTGGAGATCAGCCTTGGGGCTCAGGCTGGGGCTTGGCACGGGGAGTGTGGGTGCTGTCACTCGGAGGTGCAGAAGGTCCTGTGCATGTCATGCTGTGCCCTTCCTGGCCCACAGCTTGGCTCCATTTCAGACTCACCTTCCCCTTCCCAGCGCCCTGGATCTGCTGAGGAACATGTGTCACCTTCTGCCACCGCACTCCCACGTGGACATCGCGCTCCGCATAGCTGCAGCCAGCACAGCCGCGAGTGAGGACCACCACGAGCTGCTCTGAGGACAGGCATGGCCTCAACCATCCCGCTGCTTCCCAGGTACCTCTCTCTTTTCCAGGCAGTGTATCCAAAATGTGCTCTGTGTGTGGGTGTGGATCAGGTGCTCACACCTGACCCAGTGTTCCTGTTTATTGCCTTGCTGATGGAGCCACACTTGGGGCTCCTCCTCAACCACTTGGGGTTGGCTCAATTCTGCTTCACCTCCACGTGTTTTCGGTGTGTAAACATCAGACTCCTGTGGTTGGACTCCATGAGGCCTGGAGGATCGAAGCATTAAAAAAAAAGGAATGAAAAGTAACAAAACAAATGCAAAAAGCCCCAAGACCCACGTTACTGTCCGTGGTTGGAAGTTCTGGCTCCACTGCGGTGATGGATTCAGCTGGGTTGCAAAGGCCTTGTTCTTGAAATGAACAAACCAGGCTTTTTTTTTTTTTCTTTTTTTTTCTCATTTGTTTAATCCATTCTTCCCTAGTTAAGGGTGCATCCAGCCTTGTCTGCCGCAATTCCTTCCCTCCCACCCCCCCCACTGCCATTCCCTAGGGAAACACAGGTGCCAATCCGGTGTTACAGGTCATGTTGTCCTTGCCGGGCAGCCGTCGGTCATTGAAGGTGTGCATGTTGATCACCGCATCCGTCTTCACCATCACAGGGGTCTGGGGCTTGTGCTTGACCCGGCGCTGGCAGGTGAGCGACAGCCGGATCTCGTCAGCCATGGCGCTGCAGAAGGAGCGCTGGAGACAGCGGGGATGATGCCTTAGGATTTTAGCTTTTATATTTTTCATATATTTGTAATCCTGCAGTTCTTTAGTGTGTGACTGTAAAGCTCCATAGCCTGTCAGCTACTGTTCTCCCATTTTATTGAGACAAAACAATTCCTCTCTAGGCCTGGGACTCAAGGACACCTCACTGTCTCAGGCCCCAAAAACTAAAAACAGAAGTGAATTGGGGGGGAACAAAGTGGGGGTAAATTACTTCATTGCCTGAAGCTGAAATTGGATGATTAACCCCTGATATGTAAATGGCCCAAATTTATATCTATGTAAAAAACTCGTGACCATTGTCCATCTTGGGTGTAGCCCCTGGGAGGCTTTTGACTACGCAAGATGAATCTATTGAAGACCTTCAGTAAAAACCTGCTTTCATTCTCTTATTCTTGTCTAGTCTCTGTTTCAGGTAGCCACTCCAAGGCATCAGGGACAAAATGCTCCGTTACTGCTGCAGGGTTCTGCTCCTCCAGTGGGGAGCAGCAGGGCTGGAAGGGCTCACCAGAGGGTGAGCACGAGGTTTGGGGCTGTTTCAGGCATCAGCTGTGCTCTGTGAGGCTGTGTGGGCATCTGTCTGACCCCTCTCCCCTGCAAGGACTGTACCTGTGACAATCCTGCACAAAGGCAGAGCTGGAGGTCTGGTGCTGTGTGATCCCTGTGGGGAGGCTTGGACGGGTCTGACCCTCCTGCTCCTGGGCAGCTTTCCTTTCTCTGTCTAGTCCTTCGTGAGAGCAGCTCACTTTGATTTCTGGTCATGCACACGAGTGCATGTTCCACTTACTGCACCGGGACACCCACGGAGGAGGAGAAACAAAAAAGCAGTTCTGTTGTTTCCTGAACACTGATCAGCCACTGATCAGCCTGTGAGTGTGGCAGGGTTGATAAGAGTGTGAGGCTTCCTGCTGGGCCCTGACTTGTTCCTCTTTGAATGGGACTGGGGAGAAGGCATGGATAGTCACACCTGGAATGTGACGGGTGATTTCAAGTGAATGTAACAGCTAAGAAAGGCCCCTCCTAGGGACTTCTGTCTATATTTTAATGATTTATTCATCAGCTTGCTCTAAACTACCATTCCAGTGTGTCCTGGTCTGGCTGCTGCAGCAGCAGAGGACCCTGATCAGAGCAGACGTGACTTTGCCCAGAGTGGAGGCTGTCAGAGGGACAGACCAGTGAGCCTCTGGGGATGGTGTTTGAGGGCTGCCAGGCTGGATCCCTCTATCCCCTCCCTGCCTGTCCCTGGGGTCAACATGCACAGCCCTCCACGGCTGGGTTAAGGGCAGTGCAGAGGCTCAGAGGGAATCAGTCAGTACCTGCTCGCGCTCCGCCGTTTTGCGCAGCTTGTAGATGAATTCCACCATGGCCACGAAGACGGACAGCACCAGGCCTGCTGCCAGGACAATGAAGATCCCTCCAATGTTCTGGATGCCTAGGGCACTGGCCTCCTTGTTCTCATCCTCAGGGCAGCCATTCCCCCGCCACCACTTCTCCTTCATGACGTGGAGCTTGTCCTCCTCCTGGAGCTGCAGGATGGCGATGGTGATCTTGTCCCTGTACGGTGACCCTGGGGATGGGAACACTGTTATACACAGAGGGAAAGTGGGACAAAAATCCCACCAAGCAGAACAATTCAGACTTTTCTGCAACAGTGTTAAGTTGGGTATTTGGAAATTTGCTGCTGGGAGTGGATTATCTTAATCACCTCTGTGCTTTGTTTGTGGCAACCAGCCCCTCTCGGGGTACCTGCAGAATTGTCACTTACCCATGGGCGTCCCAATCCCATAGCCTTTGGTGTCGATGAGCCCCCCGATCTGGGTGAGGTTGCAGTTCCTCTGGGTGATGTACTCGATGGTGGTGGACTCCATCAGCAGTGCGTAATCAGCTGTCAGGGTTCTCTGGATCCCCTCCTCGTTGTTTTTAACCAGTGCTGTGGGTTTGCTGCTCATGAAAGCCCACATTTTTTCAAATGTGGAAATTTTTGATTTCTGGAAAAACGATACCCGCCCCGCCCCCAGCCCCAAAATAAGAATGAATTCTCCATTTGCTGAAAGATGGTATCTTTTCAGTTAACGAGAGGAATAACAGATTTGTCTCTACAAACAAGCTGTGGGTCTGCTGGTAAATAAAACTAGCACTGAGAGATAAAAGAAACAATGAGATGGATTCCACTGATTGATGAATGGAAAAAGATTACAAAGCCTTTACAAATAAACAGTAGGTTTGATGGTAAATGAAATTGGATATTGAAAGATGAAAGAGACAATGGGGAAACACCATAAATTCCATAAGAATTAAAAATTGAAAGTGGGGGGTTATACATTAGAGGGGAATCTTAGGTATCAGGCACTCTGGGATAGTCTGTACCTCTCAAGTAGCTCAGCCAGTGGGGAAAGAGAGAGGAAAATTAGGATAAAAAGGAGGGTGCATCCTCCAAAAAATTGGAGACGCCCCAGGGGAATGCCCCATGGCCTCTCCCTTTATTGGAATAAAGTAAAAGGACTCTTCTGTCTCCTTTTTGGACATGGACCTCTGGTGTTTATGGATTAATTTTCCTGACAATAATAATAATAGTTGAGAACAGATCACACAGTGGAGCAACCAAGAATTTGACTTTGTCTTAAATGCCTTCACAACATTTTTTGGATTTATGTTGCCTTAAAGAGAAACAAAGGTTGCAGCAAACATCCCACTGTGCATGTGCTTCAGGTCCTGAGGTGGAACTGAGACCCTGCCAAAGACCCTGCCTCTCCTCTCCCAAGCCATTGGCAGATCTGCTTAAATGTGTTCACTTCCTACCCAGGATTTGTTTACCCCGTAATGTTTCTGCATGCAGAGAGAAGAGAGAGTTTTGGAGGACGTGGTTGTCTCTACACACACTTTATGATATTTTTGTCTTTCCTCAAGCATGGCAAGGAAACATGTCTCCTCTGAGATATGTGCAACTGCCAAACAGATTTAACATACCCACGTAAACAGAAGCACAGAGATATTCAAGAAGATTGTCTTACGGCTAAAAATAAACATGGATATTCTTTCACTATCAGCAGACATTCTGTTGCAAAGGAAGGAATATGTTTTCTAGCTTGTTATTCATGTGAATGTTTTTTTTTCTTCTAGAAAATGTGTTGAGTGAGAAAAAATATGGTTATTTTACATCTTGCCATAACATTTGAAAAGTACCGTTTATCTACGAGCACCTTCTGAGTTGTCTCTGTCAGTCATCACAAAAAGAATCCCAGAGTGGTCTGGGTTGGAAAAGAACTTGAAGCTCATCCTGTTCCCTCCCACCCCTGCCATATGCAGGGACACCTTCCACTAGACCAGACTGCTGGTCAGAACTGTCTTTAGTTTAGGAGGATTTCCCAGCCAGGCAGAGCAGTGTCCTCTTGCCCCTTTGCTGGTCCCAGTGCTCCTGTGGGTCAGTGCTTCTCCCTCAGACCAGCCCTGGAGCACCACTTGGACACTGAGGCTTGTGTTCCCACTGCTGCCAGCTCCTTTATGCACCATTCTTCTTTTCTGCTCAATTTCTTGTTTTTCCTAGATCTGTTTTTGCCTTCTTATTTCGTAAGAGGCAGCTTAGTCAGCCAAACCTCCTCCCTCACTGTGCTCCTTGGCGAGCCTGGAGCTGGCAGATAACTCAGAGGGCAGATAAGACCCAGTGCTGTGCCTGGAATAAGGGTGGCTTCTCAGCAGCTGCTGCACGAGGAGTGGCTGTGGCAGAGCTGTGACTTCAGCTGTCATTTATCTCTCCACAGGTTTCTGTCCTTCCATGAGGAAGCAGGAGATGGAGCCCCAGCCCAACTGCTGCTGCCACAGCTCCCCCTCATTTTTTCAGCATCACCCAAAATATGCCAGCATAGGTTCTTCTGATAAAACTGTAATAAATAATGGTGAGGTAGCTGAAAGTCCCTTGTCATGCTTCGTATTTCAAATGCTTTGCTCATCCACCTTCTTTACTCCAGCACGTTTAGCAAAAGTTAAACAAAAGCTCATCACCCCAAAGATGGGTAGTGCAGTGCTGTTCAAAGAAGGGTTGTTCCTCTTCTTTTAACCCTGTGGGCCCCTTCTCCTGATTGAAATACTCAGGGATTCATTTATTCTCCATTAAAGCTCGTGCTTGTTATAATCCACTTGATGAATGCACAGCAGTGGATGTGCTGGAGCAAACTTCATTCAAGAGGCAGGATAATCTCCCTCACTTGAAAATCTGGACCAGTGCCCTGTAAGGTAGATTTGTGGCATTTATCAAACCTCAAAGAGCAGCAAGAAATGTAGCCTCCAAAAGGATTATTAAATATCTGTACATTACAATGGGTAATTGAAATGAATCTTGTGCTTGGCTGGCTGATAAGAACTTGTTTAACATTTATGTAGTTCACATCAGAGGCCTCTGGATTCCTAGGTTCTCCCTCTCTCTTCTTCTCTTTCTGAATTTAATGCTCCTTGGGTGTTGACACAGAGCTTTTAACACCAGTGTTCTCCCAGTTTAGAGCACAGAGCAAAATAAACTGGCAAAAAATCAATAGGCTGCATTTAGTGAAGCAAATGGGACTTGCATGAGGCACTCAGGATGGACCTCTTCAGGCAACTGAAATTACATGAGACAGGGCTCCCTGGAAGAGAAAAACCACTTTTCTCTTCTCCTCTTAAATCACTGCTCCTGACCATCTTGAAAGGACTTAATTGTGTTTGGGATGCAGGGAAGAGCCCAGATCTGTCTGCGCTGACTGTGCTTCTTTGAGCCCAGCTCCAGCCCTGCCAGGGCTCCTGCTGGCTCCTGCAGCTGGGGCATGCCTGGGTACGGGATGGCCACGAGGATGGAGCTGCTGGTCACTGCTGGTCACTGCTGGTCACTGCTGGTCACTGCTCACCACTGAGCAGCTGAACAAAGATCTGGGTGCTGGGCTGAGACCTGGCAGTCAAGGTGAGCTGGGAATCCCTCCAGGAGGGAGGTCAGGCCTTTGGTGCTGGCACACCCAGCCCTGGTCAGGCAAGTCTCAGGCTCTAAAACCTAATGAGAAAACTACTTTTTCAAGGGAAAATTCCCCAGCTGTAATTCCCAGCATAGCCCTCACAGGTTGATAGTTTGCTAGAGCTGTGAGAGCGATGTTGGTCATCGATCCCAAATCGCAGGAGCAGCGAGGGCAGGAGCGTCCCTGCTCCAGTTCACACTCAATTAAACCACAGAACATGTTTTGTAGTTGAAGGAAAAGTTAATTTCTCCACTTTCTCCTCTCAAATACTTGGGCCACACTGCTTATTATTAAGCAAAGGCATTGCTTATTGATGGGAATTTGGATGTCATCAGCCGGGACCGCACCACAGAAATAAATAAAACTATCTTAGTAGTACTTAAGTAATAAAGAGTGCCTTAAAATGTGATTATTTTCCTGATGTTTTTCCTGTGTTCTTTATTTGAGTGTACATTTTAGTATGCTGGATCCCTGATTTGAGCGTAGTTTACCTTAAAAAATCCTTGCTGGGGTTAGTTACTGTTCTGACCTGGTATTTCTTGTGCTGTGGCTGGGTGCTAATTTCTCAAGAAATTCACCATTTACTTTTATGGGCTTATTAAAAGAAGTGTATCTCTGTTGGTTGTGGGTAAAGGGACCCTCCTGTGCCCCCACATCCTCCAGAGGGTTCCCAGGTTCCCCTCAGTGACAACTTTGCTGCCAAAGGTAGACGAGGAGGAGCTGCTTGGGTGCTCTGAAGCATTAAGATAAATGGCCTGACACTGGCTTCTTCCTGGCAGAGCAGTTCCCATGTCAGAATCCCTGAGATGTTAGGAATGATGGAGATATTGCTAATTATCAAGGGCTAGTGCTGTAGCCGTGGCTCTCATGGCAGGGTCGAGTCTCACTCCTGCTCACATCTCTCCCTCCGACTCATGCGAGTGGAGCTTCTCCTTGATTTGTTCAGGATAAATAACACCAGAATCTGGTCGGCTGTGCTCTGCATCTTAATCATCCCGTGATAGTGCTAAATGAGATGTGTGTGTGAAAGCCGAGTGCCAGCTCCTCCAAACGCAGCAATCACAGCGACACTGAGAACGCCTCCGAGTTCATTCTTCAGAGTCACAGCTCAGAAGCCACCTTTAATAAGCAGTTCTGCAGGGCCAGTCACCCAAATCAATTAATGGAATCGTTTAGAGGAGCCCCTACGAGGCATCTTGCCAAGACATATACGCTTTTTTATCAGCCAAATTGGCAAGAAAGGAACTTTCAGGCTTAAGATTTTCAATTCCAGCCTGTATGAAAAAATAAATTGATTTCCACCAACTGAAGATACTTAGTCTTGAGGATTTAACATTTCTGGATGAGTGAGTATCTGTGTACACACATACACACACTTACACCCAGACTTCAAACTACGTGTCAGACCTGGCTTCCCATTCAGAGCAGCATCCTCTGCAGGATGGGAAGGATTTATGAGTTATAATGAACTCTAGATGCTGTTCCTAAATTAATTGATCTGTGTTTATTGCTGTAACTCAGTCTGCAGTGCCAGAGAGTAAACAGCTTCTCCAAAGTTCTTTTCATGAAGACAAAATCTTCCAATATGGTTGGTAAAGCTCTCTCTCCTTCCCATTTGCTGTGGCTGGTTTGCTCAGCTGCATGGGGCCAAGTTTTGTGGGAGCAGCATCCCTCACGGTGGGGCTGTCCCAGAGGTGTCTTGGTTCCTTTGGGACTTTTGGGACCTTCTGCTGTGGCCCTGGTGAGCTCTGCACAAACTCTTGGGCAGCCTGAACACAGAACTGGTCATGGAACCATCTCATGGAACAGCATGCAAAGCGTCTGCCTTCCTCTTCCTCCCATCATCCACTGGTCCCTAAGATCAGCCCCAGGGTGGTGCTTTCCTCCTGCATTCCTGGGAATGGGCCAGGATGGGCACAGACAGCAGGGCTGCAGGGCCCAGGTGTGCTCAGGGTTGGTGTGTGCAGCTTGCAGCTGATTTCACAGGGAGGAATGAAGGAGTGAGACCCTGCTGTGAGGGGAAGGATTTTGGGGAGCAGCCATACAAGGAGCCAGGCAGCAATTTGGGCCAAGTATAATCCACGGAGCCAGTGAGATCCTCGTTTGTGTGCTGCCATCAGAGCTTTGTCCCACTGTGACAGTGTGTTCAGAGCTGCTGGAGTGCTCAGGAGCTGCAGGAGCGCTTCAGGAGCCGTGGCTGGCATGGGCTGCCTCTACTGGTGCCCCCTGGAGCAGAGCAGAGCAGAGGAAGGGGAAAGAATCCATGTGCTGTTCTTCCAGTGCCACCCATCTGAGGGAGTGGGGATCCTCAGCTGGCACCTGGAGCTGTGCCAGTTGTCCCCATGGAGGTGGCACTGACAGAGCAGCTGAACCAAAACCAGCACAGAAACCACTCAGTCAAGGACACAGACCTTGCTGGGAGCTGGGAGAAATCCCACATCCCTCTGTACAGGAAGGACAAGTGAACAGAGCATCCCGTGTGGACACTCCCGCTGCTCCAGCAGTGGAAATGCTTGAAAGAAGGGACATTCCTGAGAATTCATCTCTATACACCAGTAATAATAAAAAGGAAACAGAAAATACGCTGCATCAATAAACCATGCCAAGGCTGTTAGAAGCCTGAAGTACTATTCTGATGGATAATGATATGAAGCAATAAATATACTGTGTCCTGATGATTGTTAAAAGAGACACTTTCCTTTTATTCCCATATAAAAGTCATATTGGAGAGTGCAGTTAGAGCACACAGTTACAGCCAGCCTTTCCCTGCTGGCTGTTCCAGGTTTATACGGCTTTGGAAGATACCACCACACATCTGGCTGTGCCATGGACAGAACTGCATGGACCAGCTCCATGGCAGGAGGCAAACTGGGCATTCCTAGAGTCGTTAAGGATCAAACCAACCCCTCCATGGCTCTTTATCAACCTCTGCTGCTGCCTGTCAGAGTCAGGACACAGATTCAGGGAGGACAGTGGCTTCTCAGCCAGATCAGAGCCAAGAGAAGTTGCACAGGAGCTCTCTCTAGTATTAAAATCCAGCGTATTAGCTTTCTTTAATGAGTCTTGCCAATTATACTGCTGAGGCCTCATCAGGCTACCATCAGCCTGTGCCTGCTCAAATCTTGCAGCAACAGGCACAACCTTCTTGATAAAGCCTGAACAGTGTTAGTTACATGTATTTCCTTCTGCTTTAGAGTGGTGGAGGGGGAAGGAGCCAGAGGTGCAGGGGAGCCAGCTCCCATTCCTGAGCCAAAGCCTGGGATCTTCCCTTGGGCCTCTTTCCTTGCCAGGGTGATAATTCCTTAATCACCCCTTATTTCTATCCCTTTATTCTCTCTCTTTTTAAACTGGGCTCTTACAGGCCAGCAGTGCTTTTAAAGGTCATTTTATATCTCTTGGTTTCTTTCTATTTTTGAGGCTACGGTGGAATCTGACAGACTTCTGAATTTAATTATGCTTTAAATAGAAGAAATTAATGCAATTGAATTGTGATGTGCTGGTAGTGTTACCTTGCCCTGGATCTCAGAGGTTAATAAAACTGGATTACATTGTTATGAATACCTGAAGGACAAGAAAGATATTTCAGCTGTAAAAAATACTGGTCAGGGGGGCACTTTGCAACATCTGTCCAGCTGTGGGTTTCATTTGGGCTCTCCTCTGCCCCTGAAGGTTCAGCCTGGTGGCCCTATGGGGCTGTGCTGGCAGAGGCAGGGAAGAAGCTGGATGGGTCAGATGTGGAAATTGGGAAGATGTTTTAGGGAATGCAGATTTTTCTGCAGTGCAAAGCTGCACTTTGGTACATGCTACGTTTCAGGGTGTCTGAGCAAATATCAGATAGAGCTTGAAAAACTGTAAAATCAATTTAATTTTGTAATTGTGACTTTAGTTAACAACAGGGAGGGGGATTTAGCCTTGGTGGGACTCAGGTGAATGACAGTCTCAGTCTGGGCAAGATGTGAGACTGAAAGAAGCTGTGTGGAAGGCACAGCAGGGGCAGCTTGGGAGGCGTTCTGTCTTTGGATCTTTGTCCTGGTTCCTGTTGGCATCTCTGCCTGGAAGGTAGAAAGCCTCTGCCTGGTCTCACCTTGAAGAAGGTCATGGTAGCTCCATCCTTTACTGCTCCATACTCTATTTTTGTCTGCTTTGCCAAGTCATCTGCCGAGTCGATGGGGGATTCCATCCTCTCCACTGTCAGGAAGGCCGCGAGGTTGGCCGTGTAGGACGAGATGATAATTAGGGTGAAGAACCACCATATGCCACCAATGATCCGTGTAGACAGGGCTTTGGGCATCAGCTCCGAGCCTGGTGTGGGAGAGGGCAAGGAGGGGAGAGGAAATAGGGGGAAAAACCCATTTTGTGTATCCATATGTACATTTTATATACATATATATATATAAAAGATCAGGTATCACTGTCAAAACTGTTACAGGTATGCAATTAAAGCCAACTGGTTTTGAGGCAAATTATCCAGACATCTTGCATGTGAGGACATCAGTGGGGTTTTTGTAGCAATTGCAGAAAAGCACTCTTCCTTGATTACTGACCTTGGGTACAGTGCCCAATTTACAGGAAACATCCAAACTGAAGTAATTAACTGGGCTGCTTTTATGAGATTTAAATAGCAAGCTATTTATGAACTTTTATGAGTGTTTTGTTCTGCCATTTAAAAAGGGCTTTGCTTTTATACAGATTATTTTCAAAAGACTCACTCTGGGGAATGTGTTCAAATACACAAGGTTTAAAAAAAATCAAACAGCGAGAGAAAGGAACTATCAGGGTCCAGGGCTTTGAATGCCAGTCAGAAGGGGGGAAGCAGGAGATGTTATGGCATAAAAGGTGTAGTGGGTCTGGAATGGCTTTTATTGAGAAGACATGAAGGGCTAAATGGGTTGTGCTATTTTTGTAATCACCCAAAACACCTTTTAAAGCCAGGCAAGAGCTTTGGGTTTGAAACAGCTGTGCTCAGAGGATTTATCAGCCTGGAACGTGCAACAAAGATTGGGCTTTGCAAAGCAATTTTAGGCAGCGTGGCATCAAAGCAGAGCATAGGGTGTAGTTTTCCTCCCTTCAGAGTGCAGCAAGGAGACACCAGGAAGAGGAGGAGTCCTGGATATTGAGGGTGCTTTGGCTCTCCTCAAGATCCTTCTTCTTCCCTCTTCCATCTCCGGCCCTTTGATGCATTGGATGCTGTGACATCAGTCTGGCTTTGAAATATTTTTCTTCTCAGATGCAGAATTGAGTTAAAAAGAATATAGCTCTTTTCATTTATCAGCATCTGATAAGAGGGATGATTCATCCCGCTAAACCGTCTTGCTGGGAGCTGTCACTGTCCATGAGGGCAGCCGAGATCCAGGAGGAATGTCTATTACAGGCAGCAGTGGAGCTTGGAGCAGGAGCTCTGTGCCTGCCACTGAGCCAAGGCTGTGCTTCTTTTGCTCTCTGGATATAACCACTGATACACGGTAAATTAAAGTGTGACAAATGTTTGACATTTTCCACTTATTTCTGTTCCTGGATTTTCTGCAATTAGATCACAGCTGAATTTTGTTCCTTATTCAGAGCTGCTCCCAAGCTCCCCCCCGCTGCCTTCTGAATAGATTTATTCTATTCATCCCATCTCTCTATTCCATTCATACACGGGAATGTAATCCCATCCATATCCCATTTCTGAGGTCCCTGTGACTGTGGTGGCTCACATCAGTGCCACTGATAGCTCTCCTGAGGGGCTGGGCAGAGGCTCCCATGGCACCTCCTTGGCTTTGCCCTGGACTGGGGGAGCTTCAGGACATCTCACGCTGCCCAGAACCACCGGGGAGGGGGAAAATGGGGATGGAGTAGAGGGAAAGACACCCTGTCTGCTGTGAAAGTTGATTTAGAACACAGAGAGAGCCAGGTCAGAGATCCTGGAACTGAACAAAAGGTTTGAATTAACAGAAACAGGAATTTGCAGAGTCTGTGGGATGTGGGTGAATGAAGCAGCAGAGGGAGATGAAGACTCCTCCTTGGAGCACAGTGGGTGTGTGCTCAGCACTGCAGGGGCCAGGAGGTGCTGGGAGGTTACAACCAAACCCAATTTTCGATTTAAAAAACCCTAACAGCAGGTTACCCTGCTGCCCTACCTTGCTGCATCAGCGCTCCCATCCCAAACCAGAAGCTGTTCAAGAGGGTGAAGTTGTTCTCCACAATGTCCGAGCCCGGGTTGCAGGGGTGGGCGTCGTACCACTCATAGGGGCTGAACCTGCAGCACACACGGAAATGAGAGCTTGTTATGGTGCCTTGGAGTGGCTGCCTGAAACAGAGCCCAGACAAGAATAAGAGAATAAAAGTGGGTATTTATTAAAGGCCTTCCATGGATACACCTTGGGCAGTCAGAAGCCTTGCAGAAGCTGCACCCAAGATGGACAATGGTCAGGAAATTTTCAGACAGATTAAGTTTGATCTATTTACTTATCAGGGGTTAATTCTCCAATTACAGCTTCAGGTAATGAAGTCGCATACCCCCAGTTTGCTCCCCACTCCCTGATTCACTTTTGTTTATACTTTTGGGGTCTGAGGCTGTAGGGTGTCCTTGGATCTCAGGCCCAGAGGAATTGTTTAGTCTGACCAAAATGTGAAGACACATTTATATGGAGTTCAAAGCTGTGCACTAATGCAGTACAGGATCTGAACAATATAAAGGCTAAAATCTTAAGGCATCAGTTAGATAGATGGCAGGACAAGACCCTAAAGGAACTGGTAAAAAGGAGTCTAAATGCCTCTGGTGCAGCTGTGCAGGGGCTGCCATCCCTCTGGTGCACAGCTTTATAGAGAAAAAGGCAAATTCAGCTTCAGACAGCTCTAAGTCTGTGTCCTGCATTCTGGAAAGCAGAGACCTGGGAAGCCAAGTCATCCTGGGGTGTCTCAGGTGGCTTCCTCAGAGCCTTTGGTCACTTTGGATCTTCTCTTCAGTACTGTGTCCTACAACAGCACCAGGAGCACGTGATGGTGTGGTGGGATGGGGTGGGATGGGATGGGGTCCAGACATGTAACCTCTTGCGTGTAACAGTTTGAAAACATGGGGAAAAATGGCATTTTTGATTGACTGAGGGGAGGAGCCTCAGTCATTCTGCAGCAGCAACAGGGACAAACTGGTGTTTCAGGAGATTCTTCCACCAATGCACATGGGAATCAGGGTGGGATTTAGGTCACTGCGAGAGTAGAACCTTCCACCATCCTGACAAGCAGGGATTTGGCCCAGCCAGGGCACTGGCAGAATGTGGTGACAGTTTGCTGTGGATTGCTGTGTCACTTGGCCCTGTGGTGGATAGTGGGAGAAACTTACTCCCTGTGGGGATGTATTTCCATGGATAGTCCTGCAGTTCTTGAGTAAAAATGAGGGAATTTTCTAGGAATATCTTTGCAAATTCTGCCTAAGATTGGCAGGAAAGCACCACTGGGAATGAGCTCGTTTAGCCAGAATCTGGGGAGGATGCTCAACAGGAGAGATGTTAATATTTTTAGAGCTGTTTATTTACATTTTCTGAGAGTCCCAAATTTTGCAGAGATTAAATTAAAAACGTAATTGGTATAATTGCTTTTGAACCAGGCATTAATTATCATCTCCGCTTCCTTCTGGAATCCCTGGAGATTCACAACAGCCCCTTCTCAAAGCCCAGCCCACAGCCTGTATCAGGAGATGTTTCCCTCTGTAGTTCTCCACCAGATGCGCCACCACCCAAGGAGACGGCTCACGGCTCAGTTCCAGGGGTGCCCTTGCTCAGACAGTTGGGTGTGTTTGGAGACTGGCCACAGCTCTCTGCCAGGACTCACCTGGCACTGAAACCTGCCCTGGGCACATGTCAGTGCGGGGCCGTGGTCCTGGCACGCGGGGGTCCGTGGGTGAAACCACCACTGAGGATGGGCAAGGCACAGCTCTCATGGCTTTAGAGATTACCCTGGGCACAGCTGTCCCACTTTTTGCTTCTGTTTTCCACCTTCAAGGTACAGCCTGATGACCTCTCCTTTCCTCCCTGGTTTATCTCACCTTCCTGCAGTGGGGGCTGTTCCCTAGGCTGGGTTTGGGGTGTGGAACCACAGGTTCTGCTCAGGCTGCATCCTGACATTGCTGCTTGTTCATCCAGGGCATGGCTGGGCTGTCCTTACTGCTCACCCTCCTCTGCTCTCTAAATCAGAGGAAATCAGCAAGGAAACAAGAACCAGGCTGAACTCAGACCTGGCTTTGTATGCTGCTTATTCCTGGCTATGGATTCACACCAGAGGTGGATAAAGGATGGTGTCTTGGTCCTTTCTGTTGGATAAAGCCAAAGTTCAGGAATTAGATTAAAACTTTCTTGGGCTGCCAATGAAAGACTGAGAAAAAGAAAGGGAATGGGTAAGATCAATGAGCCTGGCAAGATGACACGCTGGAGAGCTTCAAGGTCTGAGCAAAAACCTACTGGTGCAGCTCAAATGACAGAGAAATATTCAGAAATCTGCAAAGCAGCAACAGCCTCCAGTGCTTCAGCAGAGAAACCATTAGTGGAAGCAGGAGGTAATGAAGGAAGGAGGGAGAGGAGCTCGTTGACCCCATACAGCCAGAGCTCAAATCAATGGGGGAACTCAGGATTCTCTGTGGCTGGCTTCCCTCATCCTCATGTGCACAGTGGGCTCTGAGAAATATTTCATCAAAAACTAGGATCAATCTTCTTTCAGTTTTTTTGGCAGAGAAATGGAAGCATTTTGAAGAAGTTTAAAAGATCTAACACAAGATACCTTTGAGTCTAAATGGAGTCCCTAGATAAATTTTCAATGGACGATTCAGTCCTCGCTGTGGTTAGGATGAAGATTAAACCCACCCACCCTGCCACGCAGCCAGAGGGGTTTGGTGTAATTTGGAGGCTGTGGGACCCTGAGGACAGGTGGCAGTTCAGGCCAGCCTGGCACCACAGCTCCCAGACACATCATCCCACAGAGCTGTGGGCACAGCCAGTGTTGGAGGCTCTCTGGGGACTGGGGGTGGGAGCAGGGACTCCATCAATAGTGAAGAAAGACTGATTAAAATGACAGATGGGCCAAATCCATCCTCTGCCTGTCTCTAAATGGTTCCTGAATCTGTTTTAAAGGAGGCATTAACCTATGGTTATAACATGAGCAGAGGGCTCTGGTGCCTAGTTCAGAAGACTCATGACTGTGAATTAAGGCTTTTCTATTTTGATTGTGGTTTTCTTCTGAAAATTGGATTTCAGAGGCCTTGCAAGGGTCAAAAGCAGATATTGTTTCCATTACTTCTGAATGCAATAAATATTTTCCCTGTGAAATCTCTTGCTTTCCATCTCTATGTGTTAAAAGACCATTCCTGAAGAATTTTAATTACCCCAAATATGTGGTGTTCTTTGAAAAAATGGAACGACATAAAAAATATCAGGAGCAAAACATAAAAGTGAAGCTGAAATTGCAATATTTTATGTGTTGAATTTAGTCCAAAAACTAGCCTGATAGGGAAAAATTGTTCTATTACATCATGATGTGATGCAGGGACATGCTGAGGCTCATTTGAGAATAAAACCTGAGACATAAGCCACAGCTCTTCAGGTTTTCATCCCTCAGCATCAGCCAAAAGCCCAGGTCAGGCAACACTGCTGTGCTAGGACAGAAATCCCTGTTTGTATAAAGTAGTGACTGAGGGACTTCACATCAGAGACTGTCTCAGCATTTCCTTCAGCCTTTCTGCAGAGTTTCATGTGCAGATACAATTTTCACATTTAACATGCTTTGAAAATGGGATCTGGACAATTTGGGCTGGATCTGGTCATTATGAGCTGGGAAAAATAAGCTCATAAATGTAAAATTGTGTATGAATTGTCACTGTAGGCCACACGAGCAGTCTGGTGCTGGTGCCATGGAAGGCAGCAGCGCTGTGGGAGCAGAGCCCACTCAAGCTGTGCCCTGCCTGCATGACAGGGATAGCTTGGAAGGGCTTTCTAGCAGCTTTCACAGCATTTTCCTGCTCGTGGTTACCTTGGGTTCATTTTCCTGGGGGAGAGTCTTGTGCTGCTGAGAGCACCTGGTTCTCTCTGGCACCCTTGGGTGAGGAAGCAGAGATAAGGGAGGAATTGCAACTGCAGCTGGAATCTGGATCATGTCCTCTGAGAGGAAAACACAATGCCCAGCTCTGCCCCTGTGCAGAGGAGGGACCAGAGGACATACCTGCCTTGCCATGCACATTTAATGTGCTTTGGAAGTGGGGTCTGGACAATTCGGGCTGGATCTGGCCAATAAGAGCTGGATAAAACAAACTCCTAATGTAAGCACTGCAGGTGCCCAGCTCACTCTGCTGCTCTATGTAATTAGGATATGACAGAGTGAGTGCAGGAAATCTGCTCTAAATGCTCCCCTGGATCTGAGGGATGCTGAAAATTGTAGATTTGTTGTATGATCAGGGTCAATGGAATCTGCTTGCTCCAGTTCTGTGTCTGATATTTCCTTTGACTCTCTAGTGTCAGTGGAGGAGGAAGGAAGGTTTGTGCTGGATGCTCCCGGGAAGGAAGCACAGCAGAGCTTCCTTGGGGAAGAGGATCTGCATGGACCCAGGCAGCAGGGAGGGTTCTGAAACCCCCACTCGTATAAATTCAACAGGAAATAATGAGAAATGAGCATCAAACTGCAGAATCTTTCCTGGATATGGTGTTTATGCAAAATACTCCATTGAGGGCTGTGTGTGGTCACGGAGGGCATCTGCCTGCAGGAGAGGGCAAGTGCTTTGTTTTGATTTGGAAAGGTGAGATCTTGTATTGAGAGCAACCCTGGACTGTATCTCATCAAAGGCCCTGTGGAATTAACAAGCCATGCAAATGTATGCAAATTTTGCATTTAAACATGGAGGATTTAAACATGCTAATTAGATGCATATTAATTTTGTAAACAGACACATTGTCTGATCCATAGCAACGGCTTCTCCATTCTTTTGATATAGGGAGGGGTTTGTGTGAGCTTCACTGGTGGAGGGATCAGAGACATCAGTGGAAAATGGAGCAGGAGGTGGGAGCTCAGGAGCCAGGAGAGTCTGGGGAAGAGTGTGAGCAGTGCATGAATGGACAATGACAGAGGGCAGAACTACTCTTCGTACACCAGGAGGTGCTGACGAGATGGAAAGGCTGCAAAATTTCTAAAACCATGGAAGAAAGTCCATTTTAAAATTCTTTCAGACCGTGAGTGCGTGAAAGTGAGCAGGCAGCCCATGGTGATGGAGCAGAGGGGATCCAGTGGGGACAAGGGTTTGATGCCGCAGCTCCCAGCAAGGACCAGCGTCCCCTTACCTGGCTATGACAAAGAGCACACAGCTGACCCCCAGGTAGGCAAGGAGAATGTACATCCAGATGTCGGGAGAGAGAGGGTTGAGGAAGGAGAACACGCTGGGGTTGGTCCCGTTGGGCTTCCTGTACAGGATGCTGACCCCCAGGGTCATGAAGGGCTTGGAGAAGTCGATGGCTTTCTCCCGGACATGAGTGATGGTCAGAGGAGCCACAGCCAGGTCAGCTTTCTGCAAACAGCACAGAGGGAGGGGACACAGGCAGGGAGAAAGAAGGAGTTACAAACCCAGGTGTTTCCATCCCCTTGGAGACACCACAGCTCTCACACAGCAGAAACAGACCCCCAAAAAAACCCCCAAAGTGCAGCCCTGGGGTTCCCCACTCTTGTTGCACACATGATTGACATTTGCTGTTAAATACAGATGTTGGGGGTACAGAGTTTGCTGTGAAATACAGATGCTAGGGGTATAATGTTAAAATAAAATACATAAAATACACCATAAAATACAGCACAACCAAATGGAGGCATTACAGCCCCTGCAGCTTGTGCCCCAATGCAATGAGCTCCTCTGAAATGGTCAAAAAAATCCAATTTTACAGCGTTCTAAAGTGTCAGTGACCCTTGTTGTGCTTGCTCCTTGCCACAAAACTCTACAACAGTGAGTAGGCTGTGTACAGACCCTGCTACTGGCAGTGGTGGTTTGTTGTTGTTGTTGTTGTTGTTGTTGTTGTCCTTCTGTTCATTTGTTCTGCCTGTCACACTGATGCAAGAGGATAGGAGGGTGTGGAGGAAGGCTGCTCTGGATGGAGATGAGGTGAAGTAAAAAATTCAATTCCTTTTCCCTCGGTCATTTCATGATACGTCTTGAGAAGCTCATTCTGAGGCAAGAATGCTCAGTGCCTGCACTGTGTGGAGGGGAGACCCTCTGAGGAAACACTATTTAATGATGGAGTCCTCAGCCCATCCTGCTGGAGTAGTCTGAGCTCCATGAAGAATTTCAGCTGAACATATTCTTTATCCTGACATCTTATATTAATTGTGTTTGCTTCTATTATTTCTGTTATTTATTAATTTCTGTGCTAATTCAACAAGTGACTATATATACCCTCTTTCTGTTGGTTAAGAGCTGCATTCATTCCTCTCACTACACATTCATCCAGGTTCTTAAAAGCCACACGTAAATACATCCAAGGTTTCCTCAATATCATCTTGCTTGAGCTTTGCAAATCATTCTTTGCGATTGTGAACTTTTGAGGAAACACAGACACATAAATTACAGTTCTGAAGTTAAGCAGAACCTCCCCCCATGCCAGGAGCCTGGGCGAGATTTATTTAACATCTGGTTCTGAAAATTAAAATTCTAAATTACCCACGAGTGATAATTACCTAGAGATACAGTAGATTTGTCATTATTCATGAACTTTAAATCAATACTGGCTGGGACATACTTTGCTTCAGCAGGAACTGGGGGTTCACTGTAGGAACCAGAGCAGATCCCTGGCCTGTGCTGGGGGTAAAGCTTGTATGGTTCCATTTGACCTTGCCAATCTTTGATGAAAGTCAGTGCAATATTTACAAATAGAGGAATCAGAGTCTTTTACTTTAGTAAGAGTCTCTAGATGAGCTTTTGTCCATTTACATGAGTGTGTGTTTGTGTGTGTTTGTGTGTGTAAGGGACCCCTCCAATGAGTGCAGCCTAACAGCTCCTGAACAGAGACCTTCAGGAATTATATAACAAGGGTAAAAATGATGTATTTTTTGTTCTAAAGTGGTTCTCCAGCTGCACCCTGGTTGGTTTCTTTTCCTTCTCACTTTGCAAATGGAAATACATTTTTACATCAGCCTGGTACAGGAAGAGCCCATTTCAGTCACTGGCATTTGTCAAAACTTGTGGAAAATGGGAACAGTATTTTCCCAGGGAGTCCATTGTGCCAGCTGTGGTTGTGGTGACATGGACAGAAGCTGAAGGGGGTTGGAAGTGGATGGGCATTGGTGGCTGCCCAGCCTGAAGTGGGGATGTTCTGCATCCTTGGGACCTTCCTGGCAGGTTTAGAGCTTGGCTGTTCCCACCACCTTACAGCACACCTGGAAATTTTGGCTGAGTGCTCCCCACAGTTACAAGGCAGAAATGGCAAAAGAAATGCAGCATTTTCCCTTCTCCATCACTTCTGTGTGGGTGTCCTGACTCACCAGGGAAAAGCAAAGAAGATGTTGAAGGATTTGGCTATGGGTTTTTCTGAAGGTGGGAGCAAATGTTCTGTGGTCAGAGCTCGCTGGCAATGGCCATGATGAGGGATCCTCAGCCAAATTTGTAAGAATGATACCGTGAACTAAAGAACGGCCTGGAGCTTGTGCTTTGCCACAGAAAATGAAGAGAGAGAAATCTGCATGGATACCCAGGGATCCAACTGCTTTCAGCATAGAAATAAAATTTAACTGTGCCATTCCAGCAGCTGATGTGCTCCCAGCCCTGTGTCCTCCCAGGGAATGTCACATTCAGGCAGGACAGAGCACAGATTCAGGAGCCTGGGATGGGGTGTGTCCTGAGTAGTTGGAGGCAGCACAGTGCTGCACTTCCATATCCTTTTTATCAATGCAGATTTTTCTGAAGGTGGCTTCTAATTAAGGGTTTGCTGACAGAGAGGATCTAAATCAAACCCACCAAGGGTGAAGCTTTGATTTGTCATGCTCTGACATTCCAAACTGGGCAGTCAATTACCAGACTCTGTCTGCTTCCTTTACTCAGCCCTGACTCTTGTGCTGTTGCACAGTCAAGTGGGTTTTATTAAAGATGAGGATTTAGAGCAAGTGCCAGTGGCTTCAAGACCCTTGTCCAGCAAAACCACTTAAGCCTGCGCCTCTGTTTTACTGGCGCTCACACGTCTTCCAAGTCTTGTGCCTGTTCTTAAGTGTTCTGCTGAATTGAGGCCAAAAAGATGAATTCTGCCAAGGCAGCTACACAATCAAATGCAGACACTTCTGCAACACACCTCCAAGGGTTTGGATCTCCTTGTTCACCCAGTTACAGCATTCCACTTGGCTGGAACAGCTGTGGGTTCACTGGGCGTTCAGCACAGGGATGACTGTATTCACTGCAGAGATATTTGGCTTCCATCAGAAAATGCCACATTTTCTGAGTGAGAAATCTTCTCTCCAAGTTCTCAGTTATCAGGGAGATGTGGCCTGTGGGTCAGGACAGCTCTTGTGCAGCCATGGGCACTGTGGGAATCCTGCAGTGCCTGACCTCGGCCAGAGCCAACCCACGGGCAGTGGCTGGTCATGGCAGAGTCCACCAACAGTATAAGCACCAAGATAAATATTTATTCAGGAAAATAAGCTGCCTCTGTGCTTATTTTGCCCATCTGAGTAAGGTATTTACATAAACTAATCATATGTGTGTTGCCTGAGAGACAGAAATAGTGTGTGTGTTTCACTGATTTGTTAGCCAGGCCTGGTGCTGTCATCCCTTGGTCTCTCTTGCCACTGCCATGCTGGGGCTTCTGCCCTGGCTCCTCTCTCTGCTTCCTCCTCTCCTTGCTTGGCTGCTATGCCCTGCTCCCGCTCCCTGTCCCCATGGTCTGCCTGGCTCAAAACCTGCATCTCCCCACACCTTTCCCTGCAGCACAGCATTGTCCTGTGTGGGATGAGGAGCCAGGCACGGCTGAGGCAGCTCAAGGCTCAGAGAGGGGAGGCTGCTGCTGGGGCAGGTGTGGGAGTGCTCTCTGGGAGAGCCCTGTGCCTGCCCAGGGGCAGGGGAGCTCTCACTGGCAGCAGGGATGCTCAGGGCGGGTAGGGTCAGTGCTATCTGTCTGACTCCAGCTCTTAACGGCTGCTCTTCCAATCTCAGTGCTAATTTAGACATAATTTTTGTCAATGGATTTATTCAATATCTGGGGTGAATTAAGAACAGATGTCAGCAGGAAAAACCTAGCTGTGAGCTGAAAGGTAGGAATGAGGGCCATGAGGTCCTGTTGGGGCTTTTAAAATTTTCACTTTAAGGGAGATCTCCAGTGTTGGAACTGCCATTAATTGTACCTGAGGGATGTGAAAGCAGGAGGATTCCAGTGTGAGACTGGCACTACTTTGAGAGACAAGCCCTATCCTATGGATTTCTGGCAGGTGAACCTTCCAGCAAGGGGCAGAGACACCTGCTGAGGCACACAAAGAACTCGGGGCTCCCAATATACACATCCTTCACCTGGATCCCTGAGTGCCACCCAGTTATGAATCCACCATCCATCCAGTAATGATCTGAGCACAAAAAGAAAAGCTTTTCTCTTCATTCTGGCTTATTTCCATCCCATTCCTAGCACTGAGTGTCTCACCAAAAGGTGGAGGACATTTCATCCAACGAAATTGTTTAGCCCCAGTTCATGAGGCTTGAGATAAAACATCCACCAGTGTAGGAGCATTAATGGGGAGCTGGCAGTGCAGTGCAATATGTATTTCTGCCAGAATATACTGTCAGTAAATGCCCACTTATTGTGGAATTGTTAAATCAACTGTCAGGAATCGTCCCTAAGGATGGATATTACAACTCCTCCTCAGTTACCATTGGCAGGGATTTCCATTAGAAACCCCAGTATTTGCCACATCTTTTATTCCTACCTGAAGCTGCAGATTGAATGGCAATGTGATGTGCACTGTCGTAGCAGAAGACAAGTTTTATTTGTGAACAAGCTTGTGCAAAATGTCCAGAACAATTCATTCTGCTGGTTTTATGGGATTCTGCTCACAAACAATAGGGAAGATTTGCAGGCGTTGCTTTGCCAGACAACTGGAATTTATAAATCAGAACGGATGGTCCACGGTGTGCAGTGGAGCTTTGCTTGTATCAGTAATAATTTCTATGAATAAACATCAATAGCAGTTCACTGCTGCTGAAAGGAGGAGGTTTGCCAGTTGTCAGGCTCCCTGTTTGTTATGAATAAAGGGCTCAGGAGCTTCTCTGCATCACCTGGGTTCCCCAGACCTCCCTGAATACCTGAGTTCAGCTCTCATGGCCCTTCTGATCAAGGCTTCTCTGCGGGAATGGCCAGAGGGGTGACAATAAGCAGTGGACTGTGGTAAGGAGAGAGGCTACTTCTCCAGGGAATGAACTGAACTCCTCCAAACAGGGACTTTTTGTGCTGAGGATGAGCAGCAGATGAAAGGCAGCAGGGCAGGGCTGTTGCATTCAGCTGCATGAGGCTGTTGTCTCTGGATCTGCTACTGGGGACCTGGTGGACAGGGTCGTGCTGTGGCTTCTCTGATTGCTGTTGCTTTTCCTGTTTATGCTTAAGGCCAGACTAGAAACACAGGGATTTTACAAAGGATCCTTTGTCCCCAGACACTGCTGACAGGCACCCACCTGGGCCACCCTCACCCAGTTACTCTGAGAGGCATCTCCAGCCCAGTGAAGGCCATCCCAAGGGACAGGTGCCCCTTGCTTTGCCCATCTCCTCCTCTCCAAATTTCAGCCCCAGCTCAGGCTGAGTTGGCCAATTCCTGGTGCAGAATCTGCCGCTTCCACAGCTCCTAAGCCCTCTGAGCTACAATAATTACCATTTTAGCCTCTCACTTCACCCCAGGAGCACCCCCTGCTCTGCACAGGTCAGTCAGGGAGGCCACACCAGCTCAGCCCACCTGTGTCACAGCACCCTGGAGGGCTCCAGCTCCTGAGCTAAGGGGGTCTTGAGCAGTGCAATGACTTTCTGCACTGAATTAATCCTGGCCTGGGTATTTGGACCTCGCAAAATCCTGCCTGCTTCATGCTCCCACCTGAATGATTCTGTTTGTTTATGAGAAGGAGACACTGAACACAGAGGAAAGCCATCTCAGATATCAAACTCTAGATGTGGGCATCCCTGTTTTCAGCACTACAACTTGATTTGAATGCTGTCTCTAATGCTTTTCCTCCTGGGTGTGAAATAAGCTTGATCTTGCCTGTTGCAATGTCCATGGGTTGTGCCTTTCCCCACATCATGGAAAGATGATGCTGAGGAAGGGCCCATCTGGTTGTAATTTCACTTTCTGAGGCTTTATGTAAACACTGTTATAAAGGATACAGATAAAGGAGCTCATGGCTTCACGTGGGGACTGGGCAGGCACAAGTCCAGCCATGCAGGACAGAGCACAGAGCTGCACCTCAGTGTTAAGAGCACAACTTGAAAGAAAGAGGAGGTTTGGCCCTTTCCTGCTGCTGTGTGTTCATTTAATAGTTAAATTTTAAATAATTATTGAAGAAATACTACAATGCAGGTTTGACCATGAATTTTGTGTTATTTAATGAGGATGCTCCCCAAATCTCCTTCTTGTCTATCTCAGTTAGCCGACTACAGCTTTGGGAATGGCTGAAGCCTCCTGGGAGCCCTGTGGTGTCTTGCAGGACACAGGAAGTGACATGGTTTGGGCTGAATGACCGTCTGGCCTCTATTCCCTTTGAAGGGATTTGCTCCCTGTGAGCCCTGCAGTGCAGTGAGAGCTCCAGACCCTCTTCCCATCAGTGGGAGAGCTCCAGAGCCCATTCCCATCAGTGGGAGAGCTCCAGACCCTCTTCCCAGCAGTGGATGAGCTCCAGAGCCTGTTCCCAGCAGCAGGAGAGTGCCAGAGCCCGTTCCCAGCAGTGGGTGAGCTCCAGAGCCCGTTCCCAGCAGTGGGTGAGCTCCAGAGCCCGTTCCCAGCAGTGGATGAGCTCCAGAGCCCATTCCCAGCAGTGGGTGAGCTCCAGAGCCCATTCCCAGCAGCAGGAGAATGCCAGAGCCCATTCCCAGCAGTGGATGAGCTCCAGAGCCCGTTCCCAGCAGTGGGTGAGCTCCAGAGCCCGTTCCCAGCAGCGGGGCTGGGCAGAGGAGCCGTATCCCAGGGGGCTGTGCCGAGGGGCACAGCAGCCACTTGGTGTCAGTTCTGATCTGTGTCACACATATCACTCAGAGCAGCAAAGCACCGGCGCTTTCTGCTGGGAAGCCTGTTCCGCTGGGACACTGCCACTCATCTAACTTGGCAAGGCTGTTGTGTAAGAGGCTCTAAAATCTGTATTTTGAGCTGCATGGAGTTTTCCAGAAGGAAAAGCACCAAGGCAGGTTTGTGGAGCTGGTGGTATGTTCCCCCATGAGATGGTGTCCTCCTCCCCAGAGCTGTCCTGACCTGCCCTTGCTGCTCTCCTGCTCCCTGGGCCAAGGCAGCCGAGGGCTGCAGCGCTTGCTGCAAACTGATTAAGCTTCACTTTGTCCCTATAAGGGACATAATCATTATCATCTGCATTTCACAGATGCAGGAAGAGTGCACAGAAGCAATGTCCAATGTCATTTAGGGGGGAGAAGGCAGATCTGGAAGCCCAGCCCAGCTCCTGAGCCACTCATCAGTCCCAGCCAGTGCTTGACTCTCCACACACCACAGTGACTCACCCAGCAAACTCATTCTTCTCCCATGAATGGTAAGAGCATCACAACTCTACAGGGGATTTTTTGGTGTCTTTCCTGCTTAGGCCGTGGATTCAGAATGCAGCCAGGACCTGGAGGTGATCAAGGGCTGTCCCACTTGAGCAGGACACTCAGGAGGAGAGCGCTCTGCACTGCCTGCACTGCTGCCTGTGCTGCAGAGAGCAGGGATTCTTTTTGTCCTTAGCTTTTTCCCTTCTCTGGGAATCAGATATTCATAAAAACACCAGCTTTCCTCACCTCCATAACTGGGCCCTTGGGATCACAGGTTGTGCTGGAGGCAAGATATCTAATTAGGAAACTGAGCAACCTCTGGCCGCGAGTGGCAGTTTCAGACTCGGTGATGCTTTGGCAGCTGTGGGAGCAAAGCTGCTGCAACAGGTTCCCTGGGCTTTAATGGGCTTCTGGAAGTGGCCATGGAAGGAGAAGCACAGCTGCTGAGTGACAGAGGGAGCTCTGTGTCCCAGGAGATTTTAGAAAATAAGTTCCTCTTACAGAAAATAAAAAATGAAACTGTCCAGTGCACACCTGCTCCCTCAGTCTGGATAGTTCCTCTGGCTTGGGCCGTGTCTGGGACATGCCTGGGATCCCCAAGCTGTTGTGCCCTTGCCCATGTTTGTCCCTGGGGGTGAGAGCAGCTTGTGCTGCCAGCCCAGGACAGCCAGTGTGCCCCAGTCTGTCGCAATGTGTGAGAGGCTGTGCCTGCAGCCAGAGTCCGTTGCTGTGCTGGGAGAACGGTCGCTTTCAGGAATTTCAAATGAATATTTGCAAGAGACAGAAACAGGGATATTCTTCTGGCAACCCGTGTGACAAGGAGCCAGGTGGGGTCAGGAGCTCGCTGTGGGTATTGTGAGCCCACAGAAATAGAACCCGTCCCACCCCAGAGAGCCAGCCCAGAGACAGCTCTAGGGACAGCTCCAGGGGCAGCTCCAGGGACAGCTCCAGGACATCTCCAGGGATAGCCTGGCACCGCCTGGCACAGTCAACCCTCAGCAGCCACCCACAGGCTCACTTACATGGTCGATGAGCTCCTTGATCATGCCATTCCACTGCCCCTTCTCATCCTGTGCCCCGTATTTGCCATCCTCCACCAGACGGATCTCGTAGGAGAAGCCCAGGATGATGGCCAGCTCCTTCAGGAGGTCTATGCAGTAGCCCTCAAAGCGGTCATTCCCAAACAGGGCGGTGTCGGACTTACGGAACATGACAAAGGGCTCCTCCTGCACAGGGAAAGCAAAAAGTCCTTGTTCAGGGTCAGCTTGGAGGCAGGGCCACCTCTGCTGGTCAGCCCGAGCCGCCAGGCACCAGCTCTCCAGGCAGGGCTGGCACTGTGACATGTTGGGAATAAATTAACTTTGCACAGCACATCAGCTAATTAGCAACCTTGTTTACCCCACAAAATTTAATTTTGTCTCTTCTGAGCAGCCAACTGTTTTCCATTTGGTAGGATTTCAGGGAGAAAAATAACCATTTCATGCTCTGAAAATGAAGTGTTAGACACAGTAAAAGAGGGGGAGGAAGAACTCACCCCTGAGCCCTGGCACCTGCCATTCAGCACAGCCAGCAGCAAGCTGGGGGGTGAAATTCAGGGTGAGGGAGCTGAAAGTAGCTGGGGTCACCCCAAAACCTCCCCACTCAGCTCAGTGGCTCTCCTCTGTGCTGGCACTACCTTATGGACAAGGGGCCCTGCTACTGCCCAGGGAAACTGTGCTGCTCTTCTGGCTGAGCCATAGCAGAGCTGAGCAGCAGCACAGGGGACAGCAGCTAATGCAGTGACCTGTGCATCCCTCCCCTCGAGCAGGGGCTGGCAGGTGAAGTCACACAGCAAAGTCCAGCATCTGTTGGTGCCTCTCAGGCTTGGGCAGCCACCGAGGATGAGGAACACTTAGGAGCCTGAGGGAAAAACGTGTGGAGGCAAATGGAAAAAAGGTGGTGGGCAGCAGGCAAGAGCTGGAGGGCAAGAGGAGGGTGAGGTCCCTACAGCGAGTCCCTGGCTCACACTGGGGGTGTCTGCAGGGCTCCTGTCCTCGCTGTGGGGTGGCCAGCAAGGGAGGGTGAGAGCAGGCTGTGCTTTGTGCTTTGTGCCAGCAAACACCCTCTGTGATTTTGCTCAGGTGCAAGGGGGGCTTGAAGAGATGGGAGGGCAGGTCTGGAGCCCTCATTAGAGCCCTGTGTCTGGTTTGGCAAGGCATTGATGCTCTGAGGAGGGGGCTCAGGTGGATCTGTACCAGCCTGGTCTGTGCCCACCTGCCAGCCCCCAGCTCTGCCCTGGGGCTCTTTGCTCACACAGTGGGGCAGGGGGTGCTCCTTTGGCCCAGCAGCAGGATCAGGTGGGGATGTGGCAGCGCATGAAGCCCCATTTGCAGAGCTCCAAAGCCCAGCTGATCACATCATGCCCATGGAGTTTAACTTGGCTCGGCTCAATCCTGCGCTCCCCCAACGCCTCCTCGGCTTTCTGCTCTGGAATTAGTGCTTTGTTTGTGAATCAACTGAATCTATGGATCACCATATAAATACACCAGCTCCAAAGCAGCCATAAAGCACTATTAATTTTGGGAAGCGCTGTAGGGATTACATACATATTTAACAGCTGAAGCACTGAACATTAGGACGCCACTCACTTCAGTAATGTATCTCCAGGTCTCAAACATTTCCTAGGGGGTAATTCTGAACTCTGTGAACCACTTATTCACGGACTATTTCACAATTTATTACTGAAAATAGCCAGACATCCAATTCACAAGCTCTCTCAGTTTGCTAATCGATTTCTCAGTGAAGGTGCCCTCAATTTCATAACTTCACAGCTCCCATATTGCTTGGGGAAAGCGGCAGTGGCTGCTGGGGTAATATTTCTCTTCCAACAAGTTACTGCAATATGAGCAAAAGGGGAAAAAAACCCAACCCTTCATGCTTTTTCTTTTAAAAAAGAAAGCTCCTCCTATGGCTCTTCTCTCATCATTTACAGCAGCGCAGAACTACAAAGGGGTGTTGCAAATGCAAATAACATCTAGGGTTGTGTTTTATGTTTTAGACTCCAGCATATGCAGTGCAATTACTGAAGAACTCAGGTCTGAGCACATTCCCTCCTCCCCTGGGCACAGGGATCCAGCACTGCCTCGGCTCCAAGGTAGAAACCCCACGGCACGTGTGCAGGCCTGTGGAGCGGCACAATTAATGGGAACTGATATCACCCTGCCCATTATGTAATTCCTACATGCTCGCAGAGCATGGGATGGAAATGCTGCCTGAAAAAACCCTGTCAACAGCAGATGGCTGACAGTCCCCTCCTGGCTCCATCATTCTGCATTACACCATGGCCTTTGAAGTATGGTGGGTACCATGGACTGGACCCAGACAATTCCACAGCCTTGGAAACTATTAATGGGAAAAAATGTCATGTGGTGGATGGGTAATTCATTAGGAGGGGTGGCTGATTTGCAAGGAAAGCTGCTGCAGCATCTGTCTGTGGCTTATGTTCTGCTTCCACCCTGCTAACCCTTGCTGAGGGGTACAAGACCTTTGATGCCAGCCCCTCTTCTGCCCTAGAGCAAGTGTCCCCTTTCTCTGCTCCCCTCTGGGCACCTTGGTCCCGTGCCTTTTATGATACAAACCCACACTACATCAAGTCACACCCTTTTGAGAAGGGAAGAACATCACAAGGGTTCCCACTGCTCCAGACTGGGGACTCCCCAGCTGGCTCTTTTCCATCTGCACCTTTACATTCCCTGAAAACAAAGAACACAAAAGGGCCAGGAAATTCCCCATGGCAAAACCATAACTCGGGCCTAGTTTGGGGCAGGTTGGCCAAGGGCTGATTTGTGTCGCCCTGAAAACTCAGCTTCTGAGCTTGCTAACATAGTTTTCTAAGGACTTTCCCAGGACAGTAGCTGTAAACATAGATATGTGTACATTCTTTCTGTTACACGTCTTGTGATGGGCATCTCTCATGGCCAGTGCAACGAGAAAGTGTTATCCTGACCATCCAATCCCTGGCTGGGGTCAGAAACCTATAAATCCTGGGAGGAAAAATAAACTCTGCTCTTTCACCACACCTCGACCTGTGTCCATGTGATCTATTCATCTTCAGCGGTAACAGATTTTTTTATTGCTTCCTGGTGCCATGCCACGAGCCTGTGCTGTGGAGCCATGCAGGAACCAATGCCACCAGATCAATGGACCAGACCATAAAAACTCATCAGGAGCCAACACCTGCTGTCAGATCCCAGAGTGAACAGGAGAATGGAATGCAGCACGACACTTAGGAGCAGAGCTGGGTAACAGCACCAGTCAAAACTTCAGCAGTGTGTGATCAGGAGGGGGACACACAGGGGACTCTCCAGCATGTGGGGATAGACAAAGAACAGGGACCTGGCCTGGCAGAGGAAGCAGAAGAGCTCAGCCAGGATGAGCAGCAGCTTTCTGGGCAGGAGGAGCAGCCAGGGGGAGGAGGACAGGGCAGGGCTGGGCAGGTGAAGTGGAGGAGCTCAGCCAGGACCAGCAGCTGTGGCTCCCACTGGCCCATGCCAGCCTTGCTGGCCACCACATGGGGGCTGGCAGCCTGCTCAGGGGTGGTGGCATTGGGGATGCTGCAGTTCACCTCTGTGCAGGGACACGGGCACTGGGCGCCCCATGAGCCTGCCCATGTGCAGGGCTGTGGACCTGATTTTCTCTGAACCTGAGAGAATCACAGGCTGTCAGTGGCTGATCTGTTCCCAAGGGAAAATTTCTTGAGAGATCTCACACTCAAGGACAAAATTTGTAAATCATCTTGCTTTCTCAAAACAGTTTTGCATAACTGTAGATAGCGTGTTTTTCTCTTACCCCACCAATGGGACAAGAGGTAGTGTTCCTTTAACCAATCATGTTAACCCTGTAGCATAAAACCCTATAAGAACTGACAAGTTCAGAAAATAAAAACCCCTTTTCCTAACAACTCTTTCTAGTGCATGCTGTGAACCCACACTTCTACTTCCAATAGCGACACTCTTCCAGCAAGCCTGCACCGGGGTGCTGTGAGCTGTCATAGATATTGGATACCCCTGGGATATCCCTGGGATTCATGGGGAAGGACAATGACAGGCTGGCAGTTTCCTACCAGCACGGTGGTGACAATCAGAGATCTGTTGCTCAGCGAGTCCGTGACGTTGGGCCCTCGTCCTTTGGAGATTTCTGTGATGTTCAAACCATCAGAGGGGCTCCATGCTCCAACCTGAAAGGAAGCAAAGTAACACAGTGAACCCCCCATCTCAAATTCCTCAATCCCTACCTGCATTCCTTAATACCTTCCTTGCATTCCTCACTTGCTTCCAGCATCCTACTGGCCTGGAAAATGGGAACTTCCTTCTTTTGTCTGCAGCAAACAGCAGCAAAACTGGAATTACCATGTGCTAACTCTTCATCTGCAGGTCACTCCATGGCACAGTCCCACCGTCCCTGTGATGCTGCACTGGATGAAGACCGTGGGGACTGGGATTTAGGGACTGAATGAATGAACAATTTGCAAAGGCACCACATAGAGCAACAATCAAACCACGCTAAAGAGTCAAATCTGGGCAAGAATAAAGCACAATAAAAAAAATAACCACAAATCTGAGCCCGTTTTATTTCTTTTCCGTTTCCCCACCAGTTTGCTTTGGTGGGGAGGATTAAAAATGGCTCGACCAGCTCTGCAGATCCTTGATAGGGACCATTCCTGCTCTCTGTGCTGTGGGAAATCAGCTGGAGGTTTCTAACACAGCTCTTGGCAGGGCCCTGGGCCCCCCTTTGGGAAATCCCTGCAGTGGGGGGATCTCAGTCCAGTCTGCAAACCTGAAGGAGGGGGTGGCACAGGCACATCAGCTCTATTTCAGGTGCTCTGTTTTCTCAAGCTGTCAAATTTAATAAATTATTAGACTTTAACAAAGTCTATTGATCCAGAAATGGCAAAGCATGTCTTTATTTAAGAAAGTCATCTGGGCAAGGCTAAGCCTGTTAACCTGATCTCCACAGTGCAGGGGAGGCTTTGGGACTAACTTTGAAGGCAGGAGTGGCTAAAGGACTGTGACACTGAGATAAAATGTCAGGAAAGCTGGAGGAAAATGGGAGTACTGCTAGCAAATGGAGCAGGGTGGCCACGGAGCCAGCTTGACAGTGAGAAAAAAACAAACCCCACCTGGAAATGGGAACAGAACGATCCATCTGTAGGGTCAAACTGCAAGGTGGGACTCGGAGAGAAGCCAAAGGCAGCCAGCTCAATCCACCAGGGAGCCAGCAGCTTCCCATCTTTTATTTATTGCTGTTTTTAAGATTCTTCAGCCTCTTCAGCAGTCCAAGGGGAGAACTTGGTTTTACTGCATCCCCAAAAAGAGACTTCGTAATGAGCAATGCTGCCTGGCAAAAAAATTGTCATAAATTCTAGAAGAGTTTCCATGAACTTTGTGAAAGGTTTTAAATATTTCAGGTAAAACCGAAGCTATCGCCCATCTCTGCCTTGGATCACACAACAGCTGTAATGTCAAAAATTATTATTATTGCGGATGGGGAAAAAGCAAGTCCGAGAGGCCCCAGTTTGCTGCACTGCAGCTCCAATCAAATTGGAGCCTTGCTACATTTTCTTTAAGAAAATTAAATGCATGGCACTTAAGACTGAATTAATCAGTTTAAAATATTAAAAAAGGAAGAAAAAAGAAAAAGTGCTTTAAGAGAACTGTGTGAGTCAGATAGTCAAACTATATGTAATTAGGATTTGGTAATACTCCTGTAATCCCTGGAACATCTAGGAGGTATGAGGATCAGGGGTTCAATCCTAAAGCTCAACAAACATAAGCTGTGATACATAATGCACAATCCAGCTGGGATTTGTTTGTAGTTTGGCATTTTGTTACTTCAGATTAACTATTGACAGAATTCCGGCTTCAACAGAGATTTGACATTGATACGTTAAAACCCCTCTGGAGCTGACATGAAGCTTTAAGAAGAATAATGGTGGGAACTGTAAAATCTCTGAATTATTGGAGACAAAAGTTGATGGGGTGTACAGGGGACGCGCCGAGGTTTGGCAGCTTCCAGTGGGCTTGATGTGACAGAGAGCTGTGATAACTGCAGCTGGTGCCAGCTCTGCTCAGCACACCTGAGGGGTGTTGGTTTGACAGGTGATGCTGTGGCTGTGCTTAAACATTTGGATTCATGTTCTATCTATCAAAGGCTGGCGCATTTTCTATTACCTGCCCAACGCAGCTCTCCAGGAGCGCATCGGCACTGCTGGACTTCAAAAAGGCGTGTTGTTATTTTTGGGTTAGGCTCTGTAAACAAAATATTTTGTAAAAAAGTAAGGTTACACAGGTCAGCTGCTGCTCAGTTCTTGAGAGGCACCAGCACCTTCCCCAGCTCCGTCCTGCCTCCTTTCTGGACCGCAGCGAGACTGGAGGTCCCTGGGTTGATTTGAAATGTTTTCTTTATTCCGTACTTGACACCGAAACCTCCCCAGCAGGAGAGGGCTGTGCTGACCTTGAGCTGTGTTACATGAGGCACCGAGCTGCTGCTGCGGTGGGGAAGTGTGGCAGCCATTTGTTTCAAACAAACAAAACCAGGAAAAACAGACGGTGAGGAAGGAGGATGGGGCATGGGCTGGCAGATCCTGGGAGCCTCACAGTGCAGGATCCATCCCCTCCAAACGGAGCATTGATCCACAGCTGCCTCTGGCCCTGGGGCTGCCTCCCTCTGCCAAGTGATTAATTCCCTGGATGAGTCTCCCGTGCTCTGGGGCCATGCACTGGGAATTGAAATCCCTCCCTGCTGGCAGCTGGGTGTCCCGTGGGCTCTGAACCTGTCACCCTGCCCAGAGGGACAGAGCCAGCACCGTGCCTGGCTGCCACGGGCACCTGGTACCTGTCGGAAAGCAGACTCTGCTCTAGAAAGGGCCTTGCTGTCCTGCCAAATTCCTCCTGTACAGGTGATAGACACTTGTAGCAGAGCAGGGACACAGAGCTGCTCACAGAGTAGTCAGGATCATGGAATTTTTTGGAAATCACAGCTCCCTGTGCTCCAGCCACTTGTTGCTCTGTTTGTCATCAACTGATCTCACCTTGAAACTTGCATTCTAAGGGCTTTAAGGCTGCATGTATTGCCTTTTTATTTTAAGTTTGGGTTTTTTAAGTAATTGAAGAGAAGGAAATTAAGTCCCCAGGCACACCTGGGATCAGATTTGCACATCAGCATAGTGTTACTTTGCCCAGAGGAGATCTGCACTAATTTGGAGGACCCAAAGCTGCAGCTTTCATGCCCTTGACCCTCATGACATCCCCAGCCAAGCAGGCAAGGCCACACTTTGCTTTTTTCCTTATTGTTCCTTAGATAATAAACAAAATACCCAGTGTATCCTCCTGCAAATTCCAGGCTGTAATAAACTGGGGCTGTTCACAGCCTTGAGCAATTTCATAGTGGGAAATGACTCCAGATGGTGATCTCAGAGCTACGCTCTCCTCAGAGAAGAACTGAGGGTTTGTGAGCCAGGCCAGCACGAGTGAGTGGGGCAGGCATCATTCCTGTCTGCTTAGGGCACGGAGGGGTTAATGGATGCTCAGAAAGTTTCTTTTGCCTCCACTATCCCAGGAAAGTGCCTCGAGCACTTCTGCAATCTGTAATCCCACGCACTGGCTTCAGGGCGAGTGAGTCATGGTTGAGCATGGAAAAGGATCTGAGAAATCCCACAAAGTGAATATCCTTTTATATAAACCCCAGAAACCTGGAGTCAATACAACACCAACCACTTCTCTGTTGCTGAGCACCAGCGTTATCCTCAGCCACATGCAGATAAAACAAACCCTGCCTACCTTTTCAAGGCCATCTTCTTTGAGACTGATGATATCCAAATCAAAATCCGTCCGTAAACCACTGGTTTTATTAAAGACAATGCGTCCAGTTAATCCTTCCCACTGGGCCTGTGCAAGGGAGAAAAAGTAGCAGGCCTGTTACTTAGTATCATAAATAATCTTTTGCCCTCCACTGTATGTTCTTTTAATTAGTCCTTATGCTGGTTCTTTCTCCCTAAAGAGCCTGATTAATTAATAATCCCTCCGTCAGTGCTCAGGCTGCAGACAGAGCCGGAGACTTCTTTAACTCTCTTGCAGTCCTTGCTACAATATCTGTTCGCACCTTTTGTGTTCACCAGCTGTTGCAGGACGTGATGACTCAGTAGAAAACGACCTGCATTTATCACAGCATCCTTGTGTGCTGCGTTTATCCTTGTAGTGCTGATGAACGCCGGCTGCAGGGAGCCGGCTCTGGGACAGCTCTGGTCACAAGGAATCCCTTTGTGCACGAACTTCCTGGTGCTTCCAAGCTTAAATGGAAGATTAAATGTCGGAAATGCTTCCCTCGGTCCTTCCAGAGGGAAAGTGGAGCAGAAGAGGCCAAGAATGTGTTCATGCAAGATCTGAGGTTTGGGAACAGGCACAGGAGTCTGGGGGCACTGGGTGCTGCTGGAGCCCTGCTTCAGTTTCTGGCAGCATAAGGATGGGGCAGGTGCTCACTGGGACTGGGGACACCCCATTCCCAGAGATTTTTCAGTGCTTGGCTGAGTGAGGTCCTGAACAGCCTGGTCTGACTGCAACCAGGAGCTTGGGCTAGAGATGCCTCAATTCAATTCCACAAAAATTCAATTTCTCTCCCGCTGCTCACTTTGCAGCACCCCTAGAATGAATCTCTCTGATTTAGGAGGTGACAGACGCTCCAGTGCCAGGTGCTCTGTGCCAGCAGAGCAGGAGCTGGGGGACGGCGAGGTGCCTGGTGCCTGGGACAGGGCTGGATGTGCTGTGGCACTGTCTTGAGGAGGATGCTCCAGCAGGAATGCCAGGCTGCTGCCACAGTTTGCTGCTCAGCAATCACATCCCAACACTGGGGAGCTGAGCCTTGGGCTCTCTCCCCTGAGCAGCTCCGTGCAGGCTGCTCACAGGGAAATGTGTTTCCTTTATGGGTGGGGGAGCTTGAAATATTCCAGTGTGATCAAGGTGGCATAATGTATTCTCGGGGGGAATAACTGGCATTTCTCCCGGTAAATATGATCCTCTGCCTCTCCCTCATTAATTCCTGAGGAGCAGTGACAGCCTGCTTTCAGCCTCACCCCCCTGGAGTCCTGGGGAGGCTGGTGTTTGCTCATTTGGGCGTGCAGGTGGTTTGCCTGTGGGACCCCCTGGGAGCCAGGGAAAACACAGAAATGTTTGATGTGCCCAGCCGGAGCAAACACAGCTGTGTGCTGAGCCCTGCAGCTCCCCTGGCTGTGTGCTGATGCCTTTTTGGGCTACCTAAAAACAGGCCAGACAGAATTCAGGGAATAAAAAGCAGTTATGTGTTGAGGGGCTTTCGGGTACATTTCAGGCAGATGAAGACCCCCAGGGGCTGCACCCAAAATGGACAACAGGTCATGGGTTTTCATAAACTTTTATAAGTTTGGCTCATTTGCATATTGAGGGTTAATCTTCCAATTACAGCTTTCAGAAGTCAGAAGTCAGAAGAATGACAGAAACCCTTTACCCCAAGCTTGTTCCTCCCCAGCTCCCTTTTGTTTCCATCTCTGGGGGCCTGAGGCAGTGAGGTGTCCTTGATTGCCAGGGCTGGAGAGGAATTGCTGTGTCTGACCCAAATGGGAAAGCAGCAGCTCACACTGTGTGTGGAGTTTGGAGTTACACACTAAAGAATTGCAGGGTTACAAACAGATGAAGAGTATAAAAGCTAAAATCCTAGGGCATCAGTGGGAACAACAAGGGGCTGCACAACTCCCTGTGCAGGGGGACAGCACACATCCCTTGGTGCTGCTCTGAGTTTACAGGAGTTTGGAGAGAGCAATTCCTCTGTTCTAGTTGCAGCACAGAGAAGCTGATCCCTCCACTGGGCTAACACAGTGCTGCCAGAGCAAAACAACAGGCAGAGGAGCTGGGGTGTGAGGCACAGGGTAATGTGCAGAAGGAGCCAAGCAAACAAATTATTTACACTCTGTTTTGGCAATCAGCTGGAGCGGTGCTCTGCAGAAGGGAACAAAGCATGAGGAAGGAGAGAGAGGCAGAGAGGGGAGAGATTACATCCTCGGAGCAGAGAGAAAAGTTCATTCTCTGTCTGCAGTGGAAATCACTGTCCCGCTCTCCTCCTGCAGATCCATGTGCTCCATGCAGCTTGGGCATTGCCAGGTGAGCACAGCCTCATCTCATGGATGGATCTGCTGGGGTCAGTAGGTGACACAGCAGCACTGACCATAGTAACAACAACACACTCTACACCTCTTCTTGAAAACTTTTGGGGATTTTATAACCAATGTTAAACATGGCTCTTTCATGACTTGCTATAGGAAGAGCCACAGGGACTTGGGGCAAGTAAGAGGATTGTCACAAAGACAAAGAGTGCAGTGTCTCCCTGCAGCTGTGCTTCAGTTTTTCCTTGGGAATGGCTCCTTTTTGCAGACAGCAAAACCCTAGGGTGGGTGCAGGGCTGGGGGCTGGGGGCTCTTTGGGAGGGCTGGTCCCTGTGCTGTGCTCCCTTGGAGCACCCACTGCTCCTGACACTCCGCTCTGAGCCAGCTTGGGGCTCTAAGCCAACAACTCCATGGGCTGAACAGAGAAGTGGTAATGCCTGAAATCAGAGAGGGGGAGAAGCTGCCCCCTCATTCCCTGGCCCCCACCTGCTGAACCGCCCCTTAGCCAATGCCATTCCCTGGCACTCAGGCAGGGACAACCCCAGCTCAGCACTTGGTTGAGGCACCGAGTGTCCTTTGTGGACCCCAAAAACTGCTTCAATAGGAGACAAATGGCTGTTGTTCAGGTATGGAGTGATCTTGGGTGGAGTGGTCCAGCTTTTGGAGAGGCCAGAGCCAGTCTTAGGGACACATGGGAGGTTTCAGCTCCTCATGGATGTTCTGGCTTGGCTGCACAGGTGTTATTTTGAAGGCAAAGGTGGGATTTTCCCTTTCTGTGTGCATTTCCAGCCTGGTGTGTGTCTGTGCTTCTCTCCAGTTGTACCTGCCTGTACAAGGGGATGACTTCTAACCCTGGACCTGCTAAGCCTCCACCCCCTGCCCCCAGGAACCTGCTCCTCCTGGGGAATTTTTATGGTTAACATAACCTCTTTAATTTACCTCTTTAATGAAGTTCATGAAGCGGCCGCCGAACCTCCAGGCCTTGTGGCGGTGGCACTGCAGGGAGTTCACAGTCATCTGCGGCGCACGCTGGTAGCACACGGACACCACGTGCACCGCGTCGTACAACAGGGCAGCGTCTGTCTAAAGGGAAGGGGGACAGTGTTGGTGGCCCTGGGGAGTCGTAGGAAATGGTGGAACCCACCCTGAGCTCCCCCCGCCAGCCTCAGGGTTTTTCTGTTCACGTTCCCTGCTGAGCGTTCCTTGGCTCTTTCGACTGAAAGCTCGGGGTTCTGTGTGAAATCAGTCATTCTGGGAGTGTCATTTGTCTGTGAGTGACTACTCAGGTTGTATCTTGCACATTTCCTGCTGTGGTGTCAAAGAGGGAGGCAACGACTTCTAAATGTAGAAGGTAGTAACAGAGTTTTCTTATTGAGTCTGTTTTGTCTGAGTGTAAAGAAAAAAAAACTATACGAGAACATATTTCCCACACTATTTTATACATGGGAAAATAAGTAACAGAAATGTTTGTGGGCCCACACTTTTCCAAAAACTACACAAGCTGTCACCAAAATCAGGACCTCATGGCTTGGTAACATATTCTAGCATTTCAGTGATCTGAACTAGGGAGAACTTTTTTTCCCCCATATAATGAGATGATTTTAGATTCAATTTGAGATGCCCCATCTCACATCCAAACACTGATCAAGAGAATTGGATTTATTTTTCACTCTGATGTGGTAAGACCTCCTAGTGAAAATACATTATTTGCTGGCTTGACAGAGCCACAAAACAGATGTGAGTGTAGCAGCAGCGTAATAAACCACAATAAAACAAAATAATACAGCAAATAACTGAGCAAACATCTAACAGGACGTAGCCATGGAGAAAATCCTCCAGCCTTGGCAGCCATCCCTGTGACCTTCCCTTGCCTCAGCAACCAAGCATGAAGAACAGGAGCCCTACCTGCATCTGTGGGCGGGTATGGACCACAGCAGTGACAGGTTTGTGAATTTGGGGCTGGAGGAGAAGGGGGGCAAGGATATGTCCAAGCAATTTCATGGTGAATTACAGACTGCAATGCCCAGCTGAGTCCAGGGCCCCACTGGATAGAGACCTGGCAAACAGGAATCAAAGGCAGGGTCCCTCTGAGAAAGCAAAGAGGGACTGGGAGGAGAGGCAGCGCTGGGGACAGAGCTCAGCTGTGGGCAGCTTGGGGACAGGCAAGAGCCTGCAAGAGAGTGGGAGTTTCTCCCCTAACAACAAATACAACAGGAGGGATCTGAGGAGCCTTTTCAAGGTGAAAGTCTGGGAGGCTTTGCCATTTTGCAGGCTGGTTCTGGCAGATCTAAAGGGAGAGGGAAGGAGGGAGCCAGTCAGCAATTCCGGGGGTCGGAGACAGCCTTGCAGGGAAGACAGATGGGCGAGCAGGTGCTGTACCTTCCGAGCAGTAACTCAGCAGAGCAGAGCTGCCATCAGACCCTAAAAGGAGTCATCAAAGCTGCAGAATTGCCCATCTCTGGGCATTCCTTTGGCGCTCTCCCCCTGCCTCAATCTTGGCAAAGTGCCTGGCCCAGCCTGGCCGTGTGCTCCCAGCCATGGGAGCCAGCATCCCACTGCTCTTGGGGCAGCTGGAGCCCTTTGGGACACATCCTGCTACCAGCCTTGTCTGCTGGCGAATCTGCTGGCAGCTGGGCCCGAGCAGGAGCATCACCACAGCAGCAGGGCGTGGGCTTCACCCCAGATTTTGAGGGACAGCTGTTAAAGAATGCAAGCAGAATCAGAGTAAATACCTGGGATGAGTTTTTACTCCTGTTGTGGTACAAGAAGCAGTAAAAGTAACATTTAGGCCTCAATGACTGCTCCTGCCTTCCTCACCAGCCTGTCCTGCTCCCCAGACCCCTGTGTCCTGTTTAAACTGCCCGTACCATCATCACACCATCAAGGAGCCCCAGCTCTGCCTTGGGTGCTGACTGCAGCCGCTCCATGGACCACTTCTCAATGATGGAGGACACGTGTGGGTTCTCCACGTTGAGGATCCGGAAGCCGGTCAGGTTCACCCCAGAGTAGCGATATGGTTCTAGGTCTAATGCATAAAGATCCTTAAAAGAGAGAAACCGGTTTAAACATTTTGCTTAGCTTTGTTTTGTTTGAGTTTTCTGCGTCGGTTCGTGTCTGTGTTTGGAGTGAGACAGCAGAGCCCACAGAAGGTGGGAGGGAGTACTTATCCCTCAGGAATTGAGAGGATTGTGCTGTCTGCTGCCGTCAGTCGCTGCTTGCAGAGGTCTGTAGGTGTTGGTGGAATTTGGGTGCCGTATGTGCAGGTTCCCCCACACACAGCAGAAGGGAGCTCCTACCAAAGAGCCCAAGAACTTGCTCTCAGCATGAATCAGGTGAGTAGATTGTGGGGAGAAAAACAGAATCATCGCCTGTGACCCTGAAAAAAGAGACTTGCAACCCAGGAGGGGGGACAAGGCAGAATTTCTGTATCTGAAGCTCCCATGGGCCTTTCCACTGAGGATTTGCTGGGAGTGCTGGGCCCCACAGGGCACTGCGGGTGACAGAATCGCTCTGAATGCAAAACACCAACTTGCAGATTATGAAAGAGAAACTAAGATGCATTTCTTGACATTCGGACCAGCCTACACAGTATGCAGATGAATGAGGGTGCCCTTTATACGATGTGGAAAGCAGTGCTCAGCTCTGCTGGCTGCCAGCCTGCAAGCATCGCTTAGCAGGCAGTGAGGGGCACTGGGGGCACTGGGGGCACTGCTGTGTGCAGCTCTTGGCTCTCCATGTGCCTGAATATCAGCTTCATGATATGAGTTTGGGGTTAGACAGGATGTCAGGAGCATGCGGCAGCTGCTCTGCTCCCCGAAGCCAAGCAGCTCACCCGAGGGATGGGTGAGGGAGTGGGGTGAGATGGCAGCCAGGGGTGGCCTGGCTAATGGGAACCATTTGTTGGGTGGGACATATCTCATCAGTCTTTATCCTGAACGATTTGTGCCAGTGTTTTGTGGCAGTATAAATGCGGGGAGGAGGAAAGGCAACACCACAAGTCTTCTATAATGGAGCGTGGGGGTGAACATGCGACATTTACTGCTCTCACAAGGGCTTCCCAGAAAGAGGTTCAATATGGGATGAGATGCTGTGGCTGGGGCTGTGCTGGGGCTGTTCTGTGCTGTGTGATGGGCCTGTGCTGGTGGGACGCAGCTACACCCAGCTACAGCATCCATCTGCCCACAGGGGGCTGGCAAAGCCTCACATGTGCTGCCCTAAGCAAAGCAGAACAGCAGCAGCACTTCCCAGCAACTGAGACATCATTCTCTGTGGGGGATTGAGGGTTCTTATGGCTGTTTTGCTTTAATAAGCTTTGGGGGTTTGATCTTTTCAGCCTTGGCCCAGCCTCTGCACCCCCAGGGCTCACTGCTGATGGATGCAGTGCTCAAATCTGCAGGTGCAGCAGGGACCAAATCATTAATCACCCTACAATGGCAGTCAGGACTTGGGTTTTTGGGTTGCTTTTTAACCCTGGAAAGCTGCAAGTGCAAACCTGAACGTTGTGTTAAAGGGCACTGTGAAAACCAGGCCACAGTGTTGACTTTTACGTTACTTAAGGAAGCTGAGGGCAAATACAGTGGTTTGACCTCAGACAGGTGCTCATGTCCCTGGCTGGAGCAGGGGACAGCAGTTCTGTGCCTGACCTGCTGGAATGGGACTGCTTTTTCAAGATTCATTTTTAATCAGACACTTCAGTTTGTATTCCAGAAATTGTTGTGAGGAAATAATTTTTGGTTGCAAAAGCCGATGATTTCCCCCTCAGAATGTGACCAGGTGTGACAAATCAGATCCCCTAGGCTCCAGAACCCATGATCTCTGTTGCCCATCTGTCAAACTACCAGCCCTGGCCACCTCTCACATCCCACAGGTATTTTGGGTGTTGTCCCTGCCCTGCTGCTCCCCACTGACCCTTCCTTTCACCAGGTTCCTATAGAAACCAACCTCCCATCAGGCCCCCTCCTTGGTTCCAGTTTAAATCTCAGCTGCAGCCTGATTTATCACCTCCTGGAATCAGAGGATAATTCAGAACACCAGCTGAGTGTCAGGACGCAGGGAGGTGTGGATGGGAATCATCAGATCAGTTTCTTCTGGATTTTCTGCTCCTGCACAGACACAAATTGAAACATCTGGTTCTATTTTCCACCTCATCTACATACCCTTTCACTCATTATTTTCTGTACTGCAGATTAATTCTCCCCTCCATCCTCAATTTTATTCTCAGTGTTCTCGTGACGCTCTCCCCCTTCCTCAGTTCACCCAGCTTGGGCTCCTCAGTGGTGGCTGCAATGCTGAGGACTGATCCTCAGTGCATCCCACATCCTCAGTGGGAAACTGGAAAGGTCCAGGAAGGGCATCCCTGTCTTCTGCTGTCCGTGGGTGAGGTGTGTCCACAGCTATGCCCTGGGATCTGGCAGGGCTTGGCCATGTCTGCAGAGCCCCGTTTTACAGACTGCTGAGACACCCCCACAGGAATGGAGCTCTGGGGTTCTTCTTGCAGGGGCTTTGGATGCAACATCTGCATGACAGAGAGGAGCAGCACTCATCAGAGATCCTCCTCCTGCTCCTCCTCCTCCTCCTCCTGCAGAGGAAAAGGCTGATGGGGCTCTTTATGCTGGAGTCAGTGAACTGTAGTCATGCTGCTGAGCAAAATGTTGAAGCATTTAATGCCAAGTGTTGATACACTGTGCTCAGTATTGACTGGGGACCTTTTAGAAACATTCAGTATAACATAATAGACTAATTCATTAGCACCCCATGGGTCTCGTACTGGGGAAGCTGAAGCACAGGCATTGCAAGCTAGGAAAACATTGCCTTAAGGAATGACAGATTAAAATATCTTTCCCATGATATAACTGTTATTTCAGGAAAATGGCATTAATTGTGATTGCTTATCTATTAATTTATTATAATTCCTCTTTTCCCACCTCCAGGCTGTACCTACACATGAAATGTACTCCAGGCTCAGCTGGGGCTGATTAATAGGAGGTTATCTGGGAAATGCTTAAAGCTGTTTGGAATAGATAATGGCAGCAGGGGTAATTAAAATGTCTTTTGCATTTGAAAAATAAATTTTGTAGTTTTTAAGGGTTAGTTTAGTCTGTTTCTTTCCTAAAGGCAAAAAGATAAAATGGATTTTCAAAATCACACAAAATTCAACAGTAGACTAGACAATAGCAGCTTAAATGGAGACAAAAGTGACCCTGCCAGGAAAGCCTAACACATCCCAGAGTCAGAGAGGAACTGGCCCATGTTTAACAGAGGGGAAATAATGTCAAGCTGAGCTCCCCTCCTGCAAAATAAACCTGCAGGGCTGCTCCTGGCTCCAGAGGGGGTTCTGGGTGCTCATCCCCAGCTCCTGCTGAGTCAGGATCCCACCAAGTCCTGGATGGGGGCTGCAGCCTTGCACTCACCCTGTGCTCATTGTCAGTGGGAAGCTCCACTGAAATCAAAATGATTGGGAGGGAAAACAAAACCAGAACCCACATCTGTGCCCTCCAAAGCAGTGACCTGTCCAAGGGCGGGGGAAGGAAGAATTGACATCTCTCAGGGTGAGCACCTGGGCAGTGCTGCAGAGCAGAGGAGTTGGAGCCATGTCCCTGGGCTCCGACCCTGACCTGCAGCCAAGCCCTGCCCTCCCCTCCTGGTAGGGTGCCAGGTCTCCCATTTCCTTGGATTTCCCATCCCATGGCAGGGCAGTGCACACCAGGATCAGACACCCATCCCACCTGGGCTCCAGCTGCTCCCTCACATCCCACCCCCATCAGTAAGTGTGCAAGGGGGGAGCACAGGCAGATACTTTACCAGAGTTGTGAAGATGAAGTGGTAATATTCTGTCATCATCCCCATTGCCATAGCCTTAAAGAGTAGGGAAAAGGAGTTAGTAAAGGGATACAAGAATATATCAGCAGCCATGCAACAAAAAACTCAGAGCTCATAGGTAAATGTGGCAGGAGAGACCCTGAAACGCTGGGGCTGGATTCAGGATTGAGGTCATGGAGCAGTTATGCCAGGCTCAGTCAGCAAGAGGCACATGCTCAAGTGCTGAGCTTAGAGGAGCTGTGGTCCTCAAACCATCCTGAAACCATGGCAAAGCCTCAGTGTCCAGCTCCCATGAGGTCTGGTGGCATTTCTGGGTGATGCTGGGTGTGCCTGAGTGTGTCAGGGTACTGTGGCACTCTGCTCTGGGGTGCAGGATCCTCCAGGGCCACAGGCTCTGTGGGCACAGCTGTGGGAAAGGGGTCACCTTTCCTTCTCCAATACCAAACAATGAGCAACCTTACATAAACCTGTGCAGACTGACCGTAAATGTCCTGGTCTTACAGTTACACGGCCATGTAGTGGTGAAGAGGCCAGCTGAAAGGGTTTTGATTTCTGACATGTGTTATTCTGGGGCTCTGCATCCCCACCTTCAGTCCCATTTGTGCAGTGAGTTCATGAAGCTCCTGCCTCTGTCCCTCCTTCCTGAGCACAACAATCAGATCCTAACTTAGGGCCTGGTTTACAAGTGGATCAGTGAAGGTGGAGGCACAAGGATGGGGAGTGGGAATATCCCCTGTCCCTCAGCTTTTGGAGATCACAGTCCTGAGAGCCCTTGGCCAGCCCAGCTTGATATTCCCTGCCAGCCCCTACACGGAGGATGGCTCCTGCAGATTGCTGGGATTTGCATAACTGAGCACTGAAAGAACAGACTGTCCTGGAAGCCCTTTCAGAGGACAGCCATGGGCTGAAGGGGCCTTGGCTGGATGAGCATGTCCAGGCCCTTCACAACATGGAGAGAGCACATTTCAATCTGTGAGAAAGGTCACCTTGGAGCTGGTGCCTCGTGACAGGAAGCTTCCCATGGGTTTGGCTGGGATGCTGGCTGTGTGAGTGTGTTTTCTGGAGAAAACACATGCAAGAGCACTTTAAAATCCCCACTGATGGAAAAGCAACTTCAAGTCCCCCCCAGGAAATGTTTGCTTCCCTTGTTTTTTTGCTAAAATTACTAGGGCGGAATTTACCTCCGAGGAAGGAAGTGACAGTCTAAAAAGAAGTGAGATGTCAAAAAACAAGAGAAAAGGAAAGAATCTGGATTGCAAGCTATTGTGACTCTAGAGTGTGATTTCACCCCAGGTTCCCTGCTCTGGAAGTAGCTTTTAGAAAGTCTGGGGGGTGTCCCTGTGGCCATTCACCACACTGTCCCCCGGTCCCTGCCTAGTCAGTGGGTCCAGGGGCTGCAGTGTAGTTCTCTCCCTCCTGCACACCCTGGTTCAAAGAGCTGAAGCAGGGAATGGTACCTGAGCATGGGAAGCATCAGTTAGTGATGGGGAGCCAGTCTGGAGCAAATAATGAGATCCCAGTTCATGTCCTACAGCTGGATCATTCTGATCATAGCTGAGGAGCCCAGACCTGCTGTCAGAAGGAAGTTCCAGGTTCCCAGCACTGGGGCTGGATGCATCTGAGTTTGTGGGGAAATGAATAAATGATGATCCTGGTGGATAAGCCACAGGCAGTGGACAGGATGAGTGCAGGAGCTCTGTCAGAGCTGACAGGCACAGCTGTGCCCTGTGGAGCTCAGCGGCTGCTCGGGACAGCGCGGGGAGCCCTGGGGACAGACCTGGAGTGATAACAAGGGACCAAAACTGAGGAAGGCTGGAGAATCTGGGGTAGAACGGGAAAGCCTCACAGGGAGGACTCACTCTCAATTAGGTTTTTACAATTATTTGTTTTCCAAGAGGGCAAAATAATGGGTGGTTTGATGTGTGGTCATCCCAAGTGACCCAGGCTGGAGCAGCAGGTGACAGTCTCATCTGTACAGTGCTGGCTCATGTGGTGTTACTCATGGATTACTAATCCATGGGGTTTTTTACTTCTCCAGTTTAAGAAGCTGCCCAGATGATCAATGCTGTGCTATGGGAGCATGGAGCCTTGAATCTCTGGGGAGATTCCCGACTGGCATGATGATGTGTGGACTGCTCAGTCAGAGCTGCCTCAGCCAGAACAGGCTGTAGGTGCTCCAGCCTTCTTTGTTTTCTGAAAATGTGCAAGGAAAATCAACCTCAAGGAGTGGAAATTTTAGCACAAGTCTTGCCTTGTTGCCATCCATGAGGGTGCAGCAGGGCCGAGACTCTGGGACTCCATTCAGCCAAACGTCTGCAGAGCTGAATGGTGTAGTGATCAAAATGTTATAAAAGGCACATAATAGCAATAAAATATGATTATTACTGATTCTGGCATAAACAGAATGTTGGGGCTTCCTCCCTGGTTTGTTTTTTTTTTGCAGTCCATTATTTGTTCTGTGCATTTTTCTTTCACTGCTACAAAGGGAAGCAGACTCCCCTCCTCCAGGAGATGGCTTTGCCTGGATCCTACTTTCAGTGGAAAAGATCTGTTTCCCAAATGAAGGTGGCACCTCTAGACATGCATTTCTTGCTACAGGTAGAAAAGTGAGGAAAATATGAAGTTTCTAAGCCTCCTAATCTTCAGCAGATGCGGGTGACCTGCAGGTGGTGGTGCACTGCTCTGGACCTGCCTGATGTTACAAGCCAGAGTGGCCTGGCATGCAGAGACCAGTCAGACTGTGGTTTCGGTTTGTGCAACTTCCCAGATTCTGAAAATGCTTCAGTATTTTGTTGAGTAAAAATACAATTGCTAAGCTGAAATCCATGGCTTCAGGTCCTGAAAAAATCCTGACACACACATACACAAACCCAGCCAGAAGGACTTAGAGAGACTTGTCTCCCCAAGTCCCCCCTCTCCTCCATCTTCCTCACTCTGCACTGGCGATGGTGAGCTGAGCAGATGGCACAATAAACTATAATAAACTGCATAATAAGTGAGCAGCACCAAACACAACCAGCACAGGAAAATAACTGGCAAGAGACAATGAGCCCCTTCTACTGTTTCCCATAATAATCCCTCCCAAGTTCTCTGAGCACTTCCCTTCATTTTGCATCAAGCAGGCTGCAGGAGAGGTCTCTTGCCTTGTGCTCACTTTCTCATCTCTTTGGGGATTTATTTAATCTGTGTGGTGATGTCATGCTGATAGGAGCAACACTTCCACCAGCTGGTTTTTAGCATCTCTGTGAGAGCCTTTTCCTCTGCCTCATATTGACCCTGAAACCCAAAGACACTCAGGAATGAGGAGCTGGGGCGAGCAGCAAGAATGCCAGTGGAGGAACTTGTGGAGGAAGAAAAGAGGGAGCCCAAATGAATGGAAAATCTCTGACATCTGGCTTAAAGTCCAAGAATTGCAGATGGTGCTGGGAAAGGGACAGAGAATGTCATCCCTCCTGGCTGGGCCTGGCTGGGAGAGCCAGTCTGGATGGAGGGAAAAGGGAAGAAGGCTGGGGCTGTGCAGCTGCAGGGAGAGCCACAGAATTGTCCCGCACCAGCCTGAGCCTGGCGCTGCATTCAATGCAGCCCCTTCTCCTCCTGTAACATTTGTTTCTTCTCACCCACGGCCACTTTTTGGTACTTCCAACAAGCTGTGAAAATGTCATTTTCTGTAGAAATCCAGCAGTGTCCTTGAAGGATGGACATGCTGTAGCTTTTAGTGTGGTTGTGGATTGTGGCCCAAGGCAAAGCTGCACCCCAGAGTGGGGTCACTCTTTACAGCCACCCCAGACCCCTGAGCTCCTCAGCAGTCACTTTGTTTTCCTGCTCTCCCCCCTCTCACCTGCTTGAGGATCTGAGCTGCCATCAGGTGGCTGCAGTCAAAGATGATGCGAAATTCCCTGCCCCGCTTCATCTCCTTGAGTAGCGGCCGGGCGTCGTCAGTGTCCAGCGGGAGCTGGCGGATCTTCAGGCGGATGTTGTAGCGGGACGGGGCCATGATGAGCTCCTGCAGCCGTATGAGGCCTTTAGGATCACACAGAGACAAACCCACAGCGTTACAGGTCTGCCTTCCCCACGGGCTCAGCGCTTCCCCTGTCCTCCATGGAATGAGATCAGAACCTCCATCCATCCATCCATCCATCCATCCATCCATCCATCCATCCATCCATCATCCATCCATCATCCTTCCATCCATCCATCCATCATCCATCCATCCATCCATCCATCCATCCATCCATCCATCCATCCATCATCCATCCATCCATCATCATCCATCCATCCATCATCCATCCATCATCCATCCATCCATCCATCCATCATCCATCCATCATCCATCCATCCATCCATCCATCCATCCATCCATCCATCATCCATCCATCCATCATCCATCCATCCATCATCCATCCATCATCCATCCATCCATCCATCCATCCATCCATCCATCATCCATCCCTCCCTCTCTCAAATGGCCATTGCTAAAGGTTATCAAGGCCAAGGTGTCACATGCCTGCCATTAACCCCAGAGGAGCTGTTCTAG